TAGCCTCTAATTGGCTATCCCGGTGATCAGTCACTGTACAGTCCGGCTCCCTTGTGTTTTTTTTTTCTCTCTATGAACGGAGGAGAGAGATGCATTGTATCTCTCTAACTCCTGGCATAGAGGGTAAAAAAATTAGTTTGTAAAAGATAAATAAATATTAAAAAATAAAAGAAAAAAAAAAAAAAAAAAAAAAAAAAAAAAAAAAAAAAGAACATGTAAGAACATCCTCTCTTGAGTTTGACTAGGGACCATGGACTGTGAGATGTGTAGTGTGCAGGGGTGGACTGACCATTTGGAAACTCGGGCACTGCCCGAGGGCCCGGGGTCAGTAGGGGACCCCATGAGATTCCCCTGGTACCTTTTTCATAGGCTTTTTTGAGTTTGGGCAAGGACACAGGGGCCCCATAATCCCCTATTGCCCGGGGGCCCCATGAGTTGTCAGTCCGCCCTTGGTAATGTGCATACAGTAGTGTACATGACTGCAACTAATACACTATATTGCCAAAAGTAATGGGGCACCCCTCCAAATCATTGGATTCAGGTGTTCCAATCACCTTCATGGCCACAGGTGTATAAAATCAAGCACCTAGGCATGCAGACTGCCACGTAAAATGACAGAGCGGGGTCAGCGCATGCTGAAGAGAACAGTGCGCAGAAGTCGCCAACTGTCTGCAGAGTCAATAGCTAAAGACCTCCAAACTTTGTGTGGCCTTCAGATTAGCACAATAATGCGTAGAGAGCATAAAAATAAACCATATAAATGCTGCGCTACATTCAAAAATAAAAATGAATGTGGAATCCAATGACATAAATCAATATAGTGACAATAAAAAACCATATAAATGCTGCACTACATACAAACTAATTAAAGTGAATGTGGAATTAAATAACTTAAATAAAATAATAACAATAATAAATATAATAAAAAATGTGCTTAGTGATAACACAAAAAATGATGGCAAAACACAAACTAAAATCAATACGCATGTGCATAAAAATGCACATACATATATTACATCACACGTGCAAAATGTGAAGTGAAGTTAAATCTAAATAATACACGCAAAACTCAAAGTCCAATAATGGAATATTAAGGTGAAAAAAGTCCAATAATGGAATATTAAAAGTGAAAAAAAAAAAAAAAAATTTGGTTTTGGTAAACTGTGTTTCCAATATGCTGTAAGGTGACCACAGGTGAAACAAAACGTGCAGGTATCTAGGTGTAGATAACTTGTGAATCCAACCACCTTCTGGATTAGCCTCTCACCTCATCTCTTCGACCCTTGCGGGTCACAGAGCAGTATGGATCTCTCTCACAGATCCTCCAGGCACCACAGCACTCCAAAACCACTTCTCAGGATACAATATTCCCACTCAGCTCTTCTCCAAGTGTAGATGAAATATCACTTTCCCAGAATAAAACAAATGGATCCTCCCATAGTGTAGTAAGTTTATTATACCATAGGAACATCACATGTATAATACAAAAGCACTCACGTAGCAGCCAGTCCACATTAAACCCTCATGCTCTCAAATGAGGATATGTGTATGTAAGTTGGGTGTACAGCTGAGTCCACAGGTGTACCAAGATGGCCGCCACGCCGGAAATACGTCACCGCGCTACGCCGACGCGTTACGTCACAATATCACGTGACTTCATAGAGAGAGATAGAGAGCACCAAGGCATATGCTTTCTATTCCGGAGATACATTTATCTACCCTTTTTTGGCATATCTATGAGGCATGCTCTAGTGATTATTTTCCCAGTTAACGGAATTTGTTGTTAAGTGTTCTTGCATGGCAAGACCACTTACTGTTATCTCACATATATATTCGTATTATTATAGCCAAATTTACCACCCTAACTCCTCCCACAGTTTTCACACTACATAGACAGTAATATACCGAAACATGCAGATTGTTCCCGATTGGTGTGCTATTATTTTGTGGAGCGTTTCACCGAATGGTTCACGAAATATCAGCGTTTGTGTGGTGAAATTGGTCCCATAGGAATGAATGGCGGAATGTTCAAAACTAGGGTGGGAGCTGACAAAACCTTTTCACAGTTACTCCAGCCATTCCAACCACACAATAGTTACTCAAGCCACTCCAGTTGTAGACTACTGGTGGAGGCAAGAACACTTCACACAATTTCCCAAGAAATTGTAGCTTTTCTAGTTTTGTTTACTTTCATTTTTCTTACATGTTTTAAAACTGTACTGCGGAATACTATTCTATTGTTGGCTATGTAATACTGTTTGATACTCTACTTCTTTGTATATTTCACCTCCAAGGTGATGGGGGACTGTCCATTTGATAACTGGAAGTATAATCTGTACTACTAATACGCTGTATAGGCTGCATTAACTCTTTTGGCAAAAAATTTAATAAAACACAATATATAAAAGAAAAAAGTCTGTGCTGTGAGAAATCTGTAGGCTGCTGACCTCCTGAAAGTGCTAGTTGCTACTTTTTCAAGCACTGAACCAGGGAACTAGCATTTTCAGAAGGAAAGGTCAGCAGCGACAACCTACATATTTCTCTCTCTACAGGTTTCCTTGAAGGTACTGCCATCCCAAAAGGACATTAGCATGGTTTGAAGTTCGTAAAAATGCTTTTATATGCGATTTAGAGTCTCTAAATCTTCCCGTTAATATCAATAATTTATCGTGGGTTGACAAACTATACATTTATCTAAGAGACACACATGTGGCACATTCAAAGTGTTTGTGTTACTATGCATCTTGCAGTGCAGGATGATGCAAAAGGAAATGTGCTATATCTTTGAATTCATTGTCCTAAGGGTCTCATTCAGTCTGTTGAACAAAGATCCTTTCATAACACAGTATCATGTACACTATATTGCCAAAAGTATTGGGACACCCTTCCAAATCATTGGATTCAGGTGTTCCAATCACCTCCACAGCCACAGGTGTATAAAATCAAGCACCTAGGCATGCAGACTGCTTCTACAAACATTTGTGAAAGAATGGGTCGCTCTCAGGAGCTCAGTGAATTCAAGTGTTTGCCATGCTTGCTTGCCACCTGTGCAATAAGTTCATCCGTGAAATTTCCTTACTACTAAATATTCCACAGTCAACTGTTTGTGGTACTATAACAAAGTGGAAGAAACTGGAAACAACAGCAACTCAGCAATGAAGTGGTAGGCCACATAAAATGACAGAGAGCTCATCATGAAGCTCACAGTGCGCAAATGTCGCCAACTGTCAATAGCTAAAGACCTCCAAGGTGTCAGCATACTAAGACATTTTGGACAATTTCATGCTCCCAACTTTTTGGATGGCCCCTTCCTGTTCCAACATGACTGTGCACCAGTGCACAAAGCAAGGTCCATAAAGACATGGATGAGTGAATTTGGGGTGGAGGAACTTGACTGGCCTACACAGAGTCCTGACCTCAACCCAGTAGAACACCTTTGGGATGAATTAGAGCGGAGACTGCGAGCCAGGACTTCTCGTCCGACATCAGTGCCTGACCTCACAAATGCGCTTCTGGAGGAATGGTCAAACATTCCCATAGACACACTCCTAAACCCTGTGGATAGCTACAAAGGGTGGGCCAACTCAATACTGAACCCTACGGACTAAGATTGGGATGCCATTAAAGTCCATGCACATGTAAAGGCAAGTGACCCAATACTTTTGGCAATTTAGTGTATTTGAAGATGTATTGCTAAATGTGTTTTGATGTAAAGGGGCTTTTGCACACATGTACTTACTGTCTGTGTTTAATGCATACTCCTGATGGTCACTTAGCCCTGATTCACAATGGTGCAACTTCGCACCTGAAGTCGCATCTAATGCATTTTTATGGCACTGTCTTGATCAGTGCGATCTAAAGTAGCGCGATTTCAAAAATAGTTCCTTCACTACTCTTCCGATTTAATTGCGATTTGCATTGACTTCTGTTAAATGAAGGTGCAAGCCGCAGTGAAATCGGTGGTACAAATCACACTGATATGCGGATTTGAAATCATGCTACTTCAAGTGAAGTAGCGCAATTTCAAAGTTACATTCAGTGTGAACCGGGGCTTAGTGGTTCATGGCATGTCCTCACTCCTCATTCATGCCAGTCTTGAGAACTTTAAATGCTGGAATTTACATGGATACCGCATGCATTTTATATAAAACAAATTATATGTGCATGTACTTGTCACCTGTAGAGGGGGTCAGTGACAGGTAGGTATTCAGATCCCAGAGACACTAGGACCTGTTAGTGTCTCGCACGCTGAAAGCTTTTTCTTTATTATATGTCATATTATTACATTCGCTTGTTTAAGTATTCATGCTTTTATAGTAATGCTTCTGCAGTAAAAACAGCTTTGCTCTGTCAAAAATTAGCATTTTAATTAATCCCCTAGCTTCTTTGTTCATGTAGAGGTGATTTTCTGCATTGCAGCTTTATTGGCAACAAAGGGGTTACACCAGCCTGGCAGTATGTGCTGCTATACTGGAGCACCAGCGGGCTACCATGCTGTCACTACATTATATATGAGCTCTGATTGGAATTAAACTGTTTCTGGCTTTTTTCACTTCCCAGGCTGGTAAAGGCAGAGCTTCCTTGATTGGATGAAGCAGACACGAGCACCACCCTGCCAGCATCCGTTCCTGCCTGCAGCACCAGCCTTCCCATCCATCCACTGGCTTACTGCAGGGACATTGTGCTTCTAAGCTGCATGCAACACCACACCTTCTTCCTGCACAGGTAACCTTCCAGGGATGTTAACTATCTGGTGGAAACCTAAAATCTGGAAGCATTTTCCTGCTAGTCTCATTCTAATGCATTTTCTTTATTTAATCAGCAACACATTGAACAACTCACAATATGCAATGGAAAATAGACATTTCGGAAAAGCTTCAATTGTGCTAATACTTCTTTTTATTAGTATTTATATTAATCACTGACGGGCACAAATATCTTTCAACAGTTTAAATCAGTTTTTTTGTGGGTTTTTTTTTCTTTAGCTGCCAAAATAGAAGATGAGCCGCGGATATTCAGAAAATAATAATTTTCCATATGACAATAACCAGATGGTTTTGGATATGATTTTATATTCCCTGGTGGGAGTCCCTCAACCTATTAATTGGGACAGTGTGGCAAGGCTAGTTCCAGGATACACATCCAAAGAGGTAAGCTGATTGTGTGTATATGTGTGTGTAATTGTGTGTGTGGGTATGTTTATATGTGTCTATTTAGGTGTGTGTTTGTGCTGTATTAGGTGCATATTTGTTACAAGCACTAGATCCTTATATTGCAATTGTCCCTACATGATATTATAGAAAGTTATTGGTAAAACGGTAAGGGTAACCTAGTACAAGACCACTATGAAGATGCCAAACCTAGTGTTTAAATGAACTTAATGAATCAATCCAGGACCACTAATTCTGTTGATCAGAGTGATATTAGCACTATGTTATTTTTACTTTCTTCTGTGCCTCCAGTTCCAGATCATATGCATTATAATTTAGGTTAAATCACACCTATGTGCGCTACTCTGCAACCAGACACAATTAGTTGTGGGTTACAAAGATTTATGTAGGGTGTCAGCACAGCTGTCAGAGGGCAGCCGTGTACTGAGACCTGAACTTTCCAACTTAACATCTCCAGAGGCATCCAGGTGAGCACATCACTGCTTTCATCCAGATATTGTGACCCTAGAATACTCCACTTTCAGAAATTCTACCACTTGCTGTCAATATCATGCGCTGCTGAAAATTCTCAATAACTAAAGCATCAATCCAGGACCACCAAATCTATGGATCAGAGTGAGGTTATTATGATGTTCTATGCCCCTCCTTTTTTTATTCTGATCCAGATTGTCAGCTCTATAATTTGGGTGATACCACACCTACATGCACTACTCAGCAAGCAGCCAGAATTAGTGGCTCCACAGATTTCCATAGGATTTTCTCCTACAATTGGCTGGCTGCAGCACAGCATTCAGAGGGTAGCCATATATTGAGACCTGAACTTATTTCCAACGATATATCTCTGGTTTCCAGGTGAGCACATCACTGCTTTCATTCAGATATTGTTACCCTAGAATACTTCCACTTTCAGAAATTTTACCACTTGCTGTCAATATCAAGCGCTGCTGAAAATTCTCAATAACTAAAGCATGAATCCAGGACCACCAAAACTGTGGATCAGAGTGAGGCTATTATGATGTTCTATACCAGGGGTGGGCAACTGTGGCCCTCCAGCTGTTGCAGAACTACAAGTCCCATGAGGCATTGCAAAGCTGACAGTTACAAGCATGACTCCCAAAGGCAGAGGCATGATGGGACTTGTAGTTCACCAACAGCTAGAGGGCCACAGTTGCTGTCCATGATTGTGTTGGAGTGGGTTTCTCCATCTTCTTATACTAGTGGACAGCAAGACAGGAAGTGATGATAAAACTCTTTGACAAGGGCGCCATAGACATAGGAACCAATAAAATACTTTTTAATAAGATGGGGGGTTCAATAATTCTGTCAGTTTTCTGCATCATTGCTTGGAAGGACGCCCTACCTTTTGTGCTCCAGTAGCTGGGGTCACTGAGATGGGAATGTAGAGGAAAACTCCCCAACTGGAAAGCAGAAGCTTCTGATGTGTGTGTTCTCTGACATACTGTAGTCGACTTTATGTTCTTAGTTATTTTTTACATTGTACTGCAGAGCCATTTATTTAAAAAATACAACAAACAATACTGTACGTCAGAATAAATAGCACTAAGCTGATAAACTGGCTAACTTATATGGTACATTGGGAGTTAATTGCTGTTAGTTATTAATGCAGTGAGCAATGCCCTGCTCTATGACCCCTTCACACCAACCCCCCATGTAACCCTAAAACTAATCCTCACACTAACCTTCGCTTGGTCCTTAAAGCATAAGTAAAGGCAAAATGTTTATTTTAGTTTTGGACAGAGTGGATATTGATTAGAACACCTCTGAAGTTTTTATTGCTGTCTGTGTCCCCATTAGAGAGATTCTGCCTCTCGATTTGTCTTATTTACCATTATCATCGAAAGTGAATGTAAAAAAAAAAAAACAAATTTTGGGTTGTCGACAGAAAAGTAATAGAGGACAAATTTTCAAACGGGGACCCTAGTTCTAGTGATCTGTGGGTCCCCAAGGAATTCCCTTAATTTCGGGGATTATCTCTCACGTCCTGTTTGGCTATGGGACATGAAGTGAAGGGAAATCTCCGCAATGGGACACAGATGGTAAAAAATAAACTGACAGGTGTTATTACCCTCCCTTACTCTATCCAAAATAAAACAAAGTCTCTGTAACCCTTATACTAACCTTTATACTAACACCAAGCAAGTTACACACTAATGCTTTTACTTGCCTTTTCTGTAGCCTTAGCAGTAACCCGTATGCTAACTGCCCATGTGAGCTAAACTCTAACCCTTTAACTAGCCCTCCCTGTAACCCTAACACTGACCTTTATACTAATCTTTCCTTTAACCCTAACACTAATCCTCCCTATAAACTTAACATTAGCCCTCTCTGTAAACCCCAAAACTAACCCTTCCATATTTAAAAATGACCCCTTGTTTTCTTTCTAATAACTTTGGAGTCCTTAAGAATGTTCAGATCAATTCCAAGTCACTCTATAAGAGTAATACATAAAAAGGAACTGTTCCACAGGTGATCTTAAATCCTTCCCTCCATATAAATTAGATAAATTGCCAACTCACCAGAGATAAAAGCTGCCTTACTTTGAAGTGCAGCATAAGCGCATTGGACAGCAGCCTCTGAGGATGCACACTTGTGCGAAATGCTCATAGAGCAATACAGAGAGCGAGAGGTCGCGCGGCCATTGAGTAATTTTATAGAGTGATTTGGAATCGATCTGAACATTCCTAAGGACTCCAACATTATTAGTGGGACTGTTGTCTGATTCTCTACTGTTCTATATGGTATAATATTTGAAGAGTTTTTTTTTTAGCGCTGCAATTATTACTTATTGTTTTTGCTAAGGGTTTTTATATTGACCTAGATTGCAAGCGGCTTATATTTTTTTATTGTAGTGCTGACTTTTGACGTTTTTTCTTGTTGCCTTACTAACCTTTAATGTGTGGGAGTCCTGTGTGCCAAAGGTAAACCTTAAAATGTTAATGATCTTTATTGTTTTTGGGATTGTAGTAAAAAGTTTCTAACCACAAGAACTTCAAAAAGTAATGTGTATAAAAAAAATAGGTCTATTTTTTTCATGGAAAAGCAGCTGCACTGCATAAAACCTACAACAATGGCAATGTTTTAAGCCCATGCCAGCTCTTTTTCAAGCATAATTTGTTTTAATTGAAAAAGAGCTAGTGTGGACTAAAAATGTGGCCATTTGTTAAGCTTTTATGCTGTGCTGCTTTTTTTAAGGGAAAATAAATAAATTGTTTTTACACAGAGTAATTTTTGAAGTCCTTGGTGCAGTACAAATTTGCTGCAATATGTTACCCAGTGGATGCCAATGAGTTGGTGCCTACAGCACAAGGCACTCTATTGAGACTGTTTGGTGTGCACTCTGGGTTGTTCTGTTCTGTTGTTTGTGGGATAAACTATATTCTTGAAAATTTAAGTGAGATATAATTACAAAAATGTTTTCTAGAGTGTGCTAGCTATTAACCTGAGCAGTAATTTGTGGAAAATAATGAGAACATAATGGATTCAGAAAAACATCCGTTTCTTCTGTCTGCTATTACTTAGCAATAAGAAGATGCAAAACCTCACACTGTTCTAGAATTTTAGGAGATCAGTTTATCTCAAACTACTGATAATGAGGGCACTGAGTCACTTGAGTGTGATGGCTCTGGTCCTGAAGGTGGTTGATTTCCCACTGTGTGTATCTTTGTCAAATGAGTCATAGGACTAATAGAAGCCTGCACATTTGTACAGAGCCAGCACTCAGTAGAGCTACAGTATGTAATACTAAAGCTAGGGAAATGGAGGTAACTGCAACAGCCAATTAGATTCCACATCTCATATTGTTAGGGTATGACAGCAAATCAAATTTATTTACTATCCTCCTATGGAGACAAAATCCAATCATAGATGTGTATGATTTAAAATACGACCGAAAGCTCCTGTATGACAGTCTATGTACCAAATTGAATTACTTATATGATGCACAAACCTCATAAAGTAAACAAAAATGTCCTTCATCTTAAGTGGACTTTAATGCCCTAGAGGCAGAGCAGCTTCTCTATCATGTGACCACTGGGATTGGCTCTCACAGCGGTCATATGATAGAGAGCCTGCCTTCCTGGTTCTCGATCAGAAGCCTTGATCGAGAGCTGTTGCTGACAGCTCGTCAGTCTTCTGGGAGAGCGTAGAAAGCACTTATGAATGCATATGTGCAGCAGCTGGGCGTTAAAGCCCACCTTTCTTGCGTTATGCTGTTATGTGTTCGGCAAGAGGTTAACTTCCCTGACTGAATCAAAACCTCCTTCATTTATATCTCACATTCTCCATCTTCCAGACACTGCAGCTCACAGTGGGAGGGTTTCAACAATAGAGCGAGTGCTGCCAATCCAGAATGCAGTGGGCAAGACCAGGGCCATGGGTAAGGGGGTACCACTGGTCCTCCTGTACCAGGCCCAGGCCAGCAGGGGGGCCCAGGCAGCTGGGTTAATTGGATGTGGGCAGGGAGGTTGATTGGCACAGTGGGGGAGGGGGGCAATTACTGGAACCGACCCAATGTATGGCTGTCTTTGCAGCTGCTGCTGCAGAAAGAGCCATACAGGGGAACAGTTCCAGTAATTGCCCCCCGCCCACCATGCCGATCACCCTCCCTGTGCACATCTGATTCACCCAGCTGCCTGGGCCCCCACAGTGCCGACTTTCCTCCTCTCCTTTCCACCGGCTGCAACCACACAATAGGATCCTTCAAGATGGAGAGTGGGGGGAAGTGTCTGGTAAATAGGTCACATTAACCAGCCCCTTCCTTTCCTGAATGAACAAAATGAGTGATCAGTACCAATCACTCACTGTGTTCATTCATATCTGAAGCCTAGTAAACTGTGGGTTTTTTTGTTTTGTTTTGAAGGGGGCCTTGTCAGGTTGGCTGTATGGAGCTCCATGGTTTTTAACAGCAGCCCTGGGCAAGACTGATTGTGGCCAGATACTGAGTTGCAAGATACAGACTTGTGAATTAGCTTTGACAATGCTGATAGTCACACCCCTACATTTTTCATCCCACTGTAGTGGAAGCAGGCAGAGCCTACAGCAGAGTGGCAATTCTGCTCTGAATCCAGTGCAGTACAGAATTGTTGCCACCCTATCACAAGAAGCTACATTAGGTGGACTTCACTGACAGGTTCAACAGGTATTTGTAGGGCTTTGCTGGGAGACTAGGAGAAAACTGTAAGTGCAAATGCATTTGAAATAGATATGTGTTGCTGCACATATTTTTTAATGAGTAGCCATAGTCCTTGTTTAGAGATGTAATATATATATAGAAATATAAAATGTTGCATCTGGGTTTTTTTGCCAGTTCCCTGTTATTGCAGCTGTTCAGTGTGTCTAAATAGGACTGTACTTTCCAAAGTTAGAACCCAGTGCAATCAGTAATCAGCTTTCAGTAACAGACCCCCATGTTTGTGTGAGGACACTGGTGATCAGGGTTGTGGCATTTACCTAGTTCAGGGGTAGGCAACCTGCGGCTCTCCAGCTGTTGTGGAACTGCATCTCCCATGAGGCATTGCAGCATTACAAAACTGACAGTTACAGCTATGACTTGCAGAGGCATGATGGAACTTGTAGTCCTGCAACAGCTGGAGAGCCACAGGTTGCCTACCCCTGACCTAGTTATTCTAGCACAGAGCATTGGAGAGAAGTGGAAGGAGTAGCATTTTCACTGGGAGGAAATAAAATTAATTTAAAGCATTTCTAGGATCTTGACATGCAAGGGCACATGATTTTAAACAGATGAGACTTCAACTGGGTTTAATGTAAGACTGTCACAATATTAAGCAGTTAGTTCATACTCAGTGAATTAGGAAACATGCATAAATGGTTGCTGCCTTCAGTTAAATTCACATCTAAACAGTCAATAAATCTGGGAACATACTGCAGACAGCTGAAGTTAGAAGCAAATGTTGGATTTTTCTATGAAAAGTGAGCTTGGTCCAACTCTCTCTCTGCATGTTTGATCTTCCAATTAGTCAGTGAAGCTGCCCATTACATTAAAGTCCAATTATAGTCACAGAAATAGATATGCAGTCAGACAATGTACTAACATCCCAAATTTTTATAGCCTTACCTCCACCTACCTGCTAAAGCAGCTGTGCACTAAATATGACTGTGCAGTCCAATAGGCACCAGATTTAGATCTAGCGCACTCAGTAGTCAGCACTGAGCTAAAAAACTGGTCTGACATACCCCTTTCTTCCTCTGCATTACAAGCCTGGGTGAGGACATATGTGATGAAGGCTGTGGATGTTACTCAGCTATTCCAGCTCAGGGCACTGGAGAGAAGGGTGAGTAGCTGCATACCTTCAAAGTATTTTAAGGCGTATCCAAGCTGAAAACAGTCACCAGTCTTAACAGTGTGGGTACAGGACTACGAAGGGATTAAATGGTGTGAGACCTCAACTGGACTATAAAGGATCAGCGGGGATATGGGTAGGGCCAAGATAGTATATAACTTCATCTGTCGATGCTATAGATCTATTTCTCATTCTGTGCTTTTCACTGAACCTAACCTCTGCAATATTTCATCATATTCTCAGTCTGAATTGTCAGAAATTTCATTAGTGAACCTATTAAGTCTTTAGGTTCCCTAAATTAGTGACAGAACTTGGCTATGAGCCACATGTGCCTTGGATCTTAGTGATGTCAACAATCTTGGTGAATTGGTAGACCTTATTATTAATGAAAGGGGATTTTAGCTCCAACAAAAACACATAAAATTTCCTTATACGGGAATTTATCCAAAGTGACAAGACTACTCGGACATATGTGGATCACTTTTATTTTAAGCATTCATGAAAGTGTTGGGTTTGCGAGGACAGAGCTGCATTGTGCTGCAAACAAATCTGAACCCTTTTGAATCCTTTGGCAGTCACACATATTTTCTGAGGGAGAATTTTACCAGCTGACAGGCAGGGTCAAAAAGGGCCTATATCTCACACTCTGTAGGTGAAAGCAGGGAACCCCTTTAATGTGTTTTCCTGACTAGATGGAAATGACCATCATTGCTCACTGTTAGCATTGAGTGATATAAGACTTTACCTACTTTGGATATAGATACGGTGGGAGATGGAGACCAAAGGTCTCCAGATCCTTGGTAGAAGGATTTACTGGTACCGCACCCCTAAATTGAAACACTATAAATAAGTCCCTAACCAGAAAAGCTAATGGGGTTTTAAAGGTACCATACATTAAAGAGAACTTTACAAAACTATATAATAATTATCCTTTATTGTTGCAATGCCTATGTATTTTTAATATGTTTTGGGCCTACTTTTGCTTGATTTTAGAAACGTATACTTTGTCTCCCTGAAGAAGCAGGCTTTGCCCCGTGAAACTCATTGGAGCAGCGAACAAAGTATTAATCTGTACCAATTATGCTGGAGTAACCAACAAAGTATTAAGAACAATCCAAAGAGTACTATTTATATATACAACCATTTCAACCTGTTATGTGTGTTAGGCTATACTTCACAGTAGGCCTTGAAATTTCCACTCGCCTGATCACATTGGCGAGTGGAAATGATGGTGGGGGCAAGTGTGTCCCCAGGGCCATCTTGCTGAGCAGGCTCGGAACTCGGCCGGATCTGTCACTCGCACTGGGAGCTGTCAGACTGCTCAATAGTTGAGCAAAGTGAGAACAAAGGAAGGAGTGTGTGCTGTGCTCTCTGCCTCCCCCTAGAGTGCAATACCCAGCTCTGTGAGTGAAGGTAACGAAATACTGCAACTTTTTATAGGGCTGTGTGTGTATTTGTATGTGTGTGTGTATTTGTGTGTGTGTGTGTGTGTGTACATGTGTGTCTGTACATGTGTCTGCATGTATGTACATGTGTCTGTGTGCATGTACATGTGTGTGTGCGTGTGTGTTTATGTACGTACATGTGTCTGTGTGTACATGTGTCTGTGTATGTATGTACATGTGTCTGTGTATGTATTTATATGTGTCTGTGCATGTGAATTTCTGTGTATGTACATGTATGTGTGTCTGTATATGTGTCTGTGTGTGTGTGTACATGTGTCTGTGTGTGTGTGTGTACATGTGTCTCTGTGCGTGTGTGTACATGTTTCTGTGTGTGTATATGTATGTACATGTCTGTGTGTGTGTACAGGTGTCTCTGTTTGTGTGTGTATGTACATGTGTCTGTATGTAAACCTACATGTATGGGTGGTTTGGTCAGGTTTAGGATTATGTGGTTATTATGGGTGGTAGAGTATGGGGCATTTGAGGTACTGCTGGGTTGGATAGTAGGTAGGATATGCTTGGTAGAGCTATGGTTTTGTGAGTGAAAGATTATGGGGGGTTATGGTTGTACACGGAGCATGGTCTAAGTATGATGGAGTGTTTAGGGGGGCATTGGAGGCCCTGATGTAATGTGGGGGGACTCTGGGGACCCTGATGTAATGTGGGTAACATTTAACAGTGTCATTTCATGAAATAGTTTACGAGGGCGTGTTTTAATTAGGGGCGGGGCAGGGTAGGGGTTGGGTGGGGCAACTGGTGGCAAGTAACTCTTAAGGCCTGGCTAGTAGCTCAGGACTTGAAATTTTCAGCCCTGCTTTATAGCATTGTTTGTCTATTGTATTTGGGCATTATATGCCTAATGTGTTTCATTGTTATATTCCACCAATATGGTGGCTCTTTTTAACTAATAAATGGTAATTATTATATATTTTTTAAAGTTCTCTTTAATGTATGGTATGGTACATTTAAAGCCCCATTAGCTTTTCTGGTTAGGGTCTTATTTATAGTGTACCTACTTTGGTTTCTCAGGAACTGCCCCCGTGTAGTGAGTATATCCACACTGGTGTTCAGCAGCTCTGCAGCGGTCTATATGATGTTCTAGCACTGTTTTTCAATTCACATCAGCTAATTGCTGCATTTATATTTATAGTGTGCCAAAAGATTTGAAGAACTAAAGAGCAGTGGGACATCACCTGTTGACAATCAGTATAATCCGTTGCTGGCAACAGGAGGAATTCCTCTGGAAAGCCTGGCTACCTACATTAAATCATCCCTGCTTGATTCAACGGAGGATCAAGAAGATGAAACTGCAGGTCAAGGCAACATCTCTGTGACTGGTGAGCCATGTTCCAAAACATTTTTTTGCATGCCATTGCTTGTCATTTTAATGACAAGAGATTATGGTTTTTTTTCTAGTTTAATACAAATCAGAATGAAAACCAAAACACATTACTGTTACATTACATTTTGCCAATGCCCCAAGCACTGAGATACTTTTTGCTTGGCCATTGTTCCATTTGCCCTAAGAAACAAAGTTACATAAGGAAACAATAGGTGCACAATCCAGTCTGACTGACCCCATGAACATATATTATATTTTAAGTAAGTCCATAAAACTCTCTGACAATATTCCATAACACTTGGCGGCTGTCCCCAGAGCAGAAGCAGTCTCTGTAATTAAACAAGGGAGAGAGGGAAGCGCATGCTACTGTAGCATAAGGACTGTTTATTAAAAACACAAAATTGTCAACTCACATTGTTAAAAATCAACAGGCTCATCAATAGAGACTGCTGTTCTGTGTGTGATGTTTCCATCCCTCTGTATGCTGGCTGGTTCTGTATATCCGAATACATGGTGAAGAGATGACGCCTCGAACATCCGACCTCCAGAAACCATGTTGGAACGCACGCTGGTAGAAGCAACATAACAGCAGTGGGATAAAAATTGGCTACGCCTATGAGAGCATCCACACTCCTTTATCAAGCCAATCAGAGAAACTGATTGGCTTGATAAAAGAAAGTGATGGGCAAGAAAAGTAAGGCTGGAGAAAGATGAGCTAAGTGATGCTTGAAGTCCTCTGGCCAGGAAATGAGATGGGCTCAGTCTGACTTGCTAGAGCTTCTAATGCACACTGTGTGAAGCTCCCATTGTGCAGTGACATCAAAGTAAGCCATTTCAGTACAAGACAACTGTCTCTAACGTGCTGCCAGCGCAAGGTATTTTAAGTTTGCTCCAGTCATTACCAGCTAAAAATTGTAGTATAAAATATGGAGGCTTCAATTGAGTTTTAATGTTGAGATTTGTATGTTAACCACCAGAGGAAGCCCTCACTGGCTCAATGCAATCAATTACCTTTTGATCAACAACTGTTAAAGAATATGTAAACCCAATATTTCATATTCCTGATATGTGCCTGCTGTACCATGTACTTGTAGGGAAAAGTATCCTGTTTTCTTTGTATTGCTTCTTTTGTGTGAAATCTCTGGTGTTCCTGTCAATCCCTCTGCTTTCCTATTAAAAAAGTGACTACAGTAGATAGGAGAGCACACAGTGGTCAGTTCTCTAGTTGTGCTGGGAACTCAGTCTGCTCCCCTTCAATGATCAGACTTGTCCTGACACTCACCCACTGCACATCCATTCACTGGGAAGATCAAGGTGCTGTGGTTTCTCTTCCCCTAGCTAGCTCTTTTGAACAGATGGAATGTGATTACTTATAAAAAAAAGGGGAAAAAGTATTTATAATGTTTATTTTTTATATCTATACACAAATGTTTTGTCTTTTATTTCTATTTTAAACTGAATGAGTTGTTTTACAAGGTGAGGGTTTACTATCACTATATATATATATAATATAACAAAATATTAGCTACAAGGAAATGCATTGTTTTAACTGAATCTGCCAACTCAGACTTGAGTAAGTCCAAGAACTGTGAAGCAGAAAAAAGAGCCTACATATGTAATATGTAAATATTACTATTCCCAAGTGTATACAGGTGAAACTCGAAAAATTAGAATATCGTGCAAAAGTTCATTTATTTCAGTGATGTAATGTAAAAGGTGAAACTAATATATGAGATAGACTCATTACATGCAAAGCAAGATAGTTCAAGCCGTGATTTGTTATAATTGTGATGATTATGGCTTACAGCTCATGAAAACCCCAAATCCACAATCTCAGAAAATTAGAATATTGTGAAAAGGTGCAATATTCTAGGCTCAAAGTGTCCCACTCTAACCAGCTAATCAAGCCATAACACTTGCAAAGGGTTCCTGAGCCTTTAAATGGTCTCTCAGTCTGGTTCAGTAGGAATCACAATCATGGGAAAGACTGCTGACCTGATATTTGTGCAGAAAATCATCATTGACACCCTCCATAAGGAGGGAAAGCCTCAAAAGGTAATTGTAAAAGAAGTTGGATGTTCCCAAAGTGCTGTATCAAAGCACATTAATAGAAAGTTATGTGGAAGGGAAAAGTGTAGAAGAAAAAGGTGCACAAGCAGCAGGGATGACCGCAGCCTGGAGAGGATTTGGGGAGCCATGTCATCTGCTGGTGTTGGTCCACTGTGCTTCATTAAGTCCAGGGTCAACGCAGCCGTCTACCAGGAGATTTTGGAGCACTTCATGCTTCCTTGCACAGACGAGCTTTATGGGGATGCTGACTTCATTTTCCAGCAGGACGTAGCACCTGCCCACACTGCCAAAAGTACCAAAACCTGGTTCAATGACCTTGGGATTACTGTGCTTGATTGGCCAGCAAACTCGCCTGACCTGAACCCCATAGAGAATCTATGGGGTATTGCCAAGAGAAAGATGAGAGACATGAGACCGAACAATGCAGAAGAGCTGAAGGCCGCTATTGAAGCATCCTGGTCTTCCATAACACCTCAGCAGTGCCACAGGCTGATAGCTTCCATGCCACGCTGCATTGAGGCAGTAATTGCTGCAAAAGGGGCCCAAACCAAGTACTGAGTACATATGCATGCTTATACTTTTCAGAGGTCCGATATTGTTCTATGTACAATCCTTGTTTTATTGATTGCATGTAATATTCTAATTTTCTGAGATTGTGGATTTGGGGTTTTCATGAGCTGTAAGCCATAATCATCACAATTATGACAAATCACGGCTTGAACTATCTTGCTTTGCATGTAATGAGTCTATCTCATATATTAGTTTCACCTTTTAAGTTACATTACTGAAATAAATGAACTTTTGCACAATATTCTAATTGTTTCGAGTTTCCCCTATATACTGTAACTAAGTTTTTCTTTACAATACTGCATATTGATAAAATGATTTCCATTAAGCAAATTTCTTCTACAGGTTCATATGAATATACACAGAAAAGTCTATACATTCCATATAATTGCTCTGTGCTCACTCTAGCAGTATGATTCATGGTTTCCCTAGAGTTTAGGGAGAGGATATTCTGTCTGATTGTCACCCTTTGGCAGATCATAGGAAAGATCCTTTTGATTTCTTGGCCTGTCACTAATGGTCGTTGATGCAGCAGATTCTTCAGGTCAAATTAATATTTACAACTTTTATTGCATATGGTGGTGGTGCTCAGAGGGTATCTTTGTAGGTTCACATTAGGCTGCTTTTACACCGATTCATTTTTCTTCCAATTTTGCATTAAGGAAAGCAGAAGAAAAACATGTGACCATGTATTCCTATTGAACTGTGCACACTGACCTGTTGCGGGTCCGGTGCGTTTTTCAAAGTCCTGCTTGCTGCATTTTTGGTGCAGTAAACAAAAAAAAAGCACCTCCCCATTGAAATTGTTTTTGGTGCTGTTTTTGAGTCACATGCTATGTTAAAAATGCACTGCAAACGCATTAAAAACATGGTAAAAACACAACAAAAAGGAAAATGCATTTTTGCCATGGATCAGTGTGAAAGTAGCCTAAAACATGCTTCACATTAAATGCTTAAATCCAAAACATTTTTTTTTTGTGTTCTTTCATTTGTAAAAAAAAAATCTGTTGTCCGTTTAAATGTTGATATCTGTATACCTTAATTTTCAATAGCTTTCATTCTACTATTTTAAGGACTGGTTGTTAGAATCACAAAAAATATTTTTCTTGTGTTGAAGGAAGATCTGGTGCTGCATCAGGAAGAAAATGTTCTGCAGAGAATGAAACATCTTCCCCATCTGTAGATACAGAAAATACTGATGGAAACCAAGGGTATGACAATGTTCTTCCTTCCTCATATTGGCTGTATACAAGGAGAGGGTGGATTGCATTAAAGGAATTATACTGAAAATCTGTTGAAAGATTATCATCTGTAGTGCAATGAAGCAATCCTAACAGCTTTCATGTAAAAGAAGTCCTTCCCCGTTACTCTCTGGTGCCTCTACAGGCCCTGCTGTCTCACCGGGGACTCCGGCACTGAATCCAGTGTTTCCGCCTGCTTACCATAGAGGTGATCGAGGACTGGAACATCTCCAATCATCTCTATGGTATATGAACTTGGAAGCACAGAGTATTTAATCACTTCCACTTTCGGTCTTTTGTTCACTGGCCATTACCAGCTTGGGAAAACTTCGGATCAAACTAATCCAGGTTTGATCCAAAACTTTCAAGGGCAGAGGTGACATCTGGGGTCTCATAGACCCCAGATGTCTCAGCAAAGAGGACCTGTCACTGTTAATTTTAAGAGATGTTTACATTCTTGGTGATAGCGATAAAACCGATCAAAACATTTTTAAAGAAACAGTGTAAAAATAAAAAAATGTTTTAATAAAATACATTTAAAAAAATGTTTTAAATTGCCCCGTCCCCCTGTGCTCACGGGAGGGATGGGGCACTTGTAGGTCACACAAGCAGGGGCTTAGATAAGGGGGAGTCAGGGGGGTCTGAACCCCCCCAGAGGAGAGTTGCCAACCATCCATCCTGGCTGCAGTCTGCAGCCATCAAATTTTGGGCTGGGCAGTGATCAGAACACAGCAGCGGGAACACAGCAGCGCTGGGAGGGAGGGGGTGGCAGACAGAAAACCATTCTGTGCAGCTGTGGAGGCAGCGATCAGTGCTGGTCTAGGGGTGTGTGGGAGAGGCGGCGGTGCTATGGTGACAAGTAGCGATCTCCTGTATGACTTTCAATGAACCAGCTGGAAGGCGTGGGAGGGAGAGGAGGAGAAGCAGCTTCCAGTCATACAGGAGATCGCTGCCTGTCACCACAACCACCGCCACCCTTCCCACACACCCCAAGCCCCGGTGCTGCTCTGCCGCATCCACCGATGTACAGAATGGTTTTCTTTCGCCCACTGCTGCTGTATTCCAGCCGCTGTGTTCTTCTCACTACCCAGCAGCCCAGCCCCTCCCTCCATCCTCCACACCAATAGCAGAATAGGGGAGAGAGGCTGAATCTGCTCTGCCTCTCCCCTGTGCCCGCCCACACTCCAGTCCGTGCTGCTTCAGAGGAGGTGCGGGCAGGGAAACTGAACACAGCAGATGACAGTCACAGCTTTGAGGCTTCTGAAGGAGTCATGGTGAGTATGACCTAATCGTCCATCCTTCCACCCCCCCCCCCCCCCCCCTTCCATCCTTCCACCCCCCCTTTCCCTTCCATCCTTCTACCTTACCCCTCCCTTCCATCCTTCCACCCCCCCCCCCCCTTCCTTCCACCCACCCCTCCCTTCCTCCCACCCTTCCTTCCTTCCTTCCTTTTCTTTTTCTTTCTTTTTATAAGCAAAAGTGTCAGAAAAGGCCTAGTCTTACTAATAGTGTAGTATTTATTGATAAAATTGACATAAAACCTAGATTGTGAGCTCCAAGGAGCAGGGCCCTCTAATCCCTCTTGTATTGAACTGTATTGTTACTGTACTGTCTCCCTCCATAATGTAAAGTGCTGAGCAACTGTTGGCGCTATATAAGTCCTGTATAATAATAATAATAATAATAATAAAAATAATAAAACAAAATAGCAGCTACTTCCTGATGACGTCAGAGTGATGAAAATGCATAAGAGACTTCCAGTCTCTGACATCCGGTCACATTACTTCCTGTTAGTTGGAACACATGCCAGCCTAGGTGGTGTATACATGGTGGCGCCAGCATTGCAGGACTACACGCTGTAATACCTTGCACCGGTATTCAGGCACATTATCATGTGAGCATTTTATTTTGTTTTATATGTTGATTTTATCAATAAATACTACACTGTACAAAACTTATCCTTGGGTTCCGATGTGGTTTCTGTGGAGTAAATAAAAATATTGGATACATCACTACAGGATGAGCTTTCGTCCGCTTTTATTGTGATACCAACAAGCACATGTTATATAAATTTACCATATGATCGGGTGGAATGTGGATTCCTTGTGTTGAAGAAGACTGGGCACTTAGCACCTTTGTGTTTTAGAGACTTTGATATTTGAGGTCATGTGTGGTGACCCATGGGCTTTATTATATGTATTTGATGTAAATTCACAAATGATTGCATTTATTTGATGGTTTCTCATAGATATAGATTTTACAGACTGCATTATATCTATTTTAGTTTTTTTAAGGGTATTTTGTACACAGCTCTTTAGCATTTTCCATTTGAGATTTCATTTCAATTTCACATGGTGATTATTGATCACTTCAGGGAGGCAGCTTAGTCACCTTTTGTTACTTTACACAATATAATGTTGTATATGTTGGTTAGATGTACTTTATACTTGCTATTTATAGCTGTATGCGACCGTTATAACATTTTTGAAATCTTGATTTTTTTTAAAGGCCCAATATGGTCATTCATGTATGTGATGAAGCCAAACACCTAAAGGAAGATTTCACATGTCCAAGGGATCTGCTGATATCCGAAATGAAGTATTTTGCAGAGTATTTAACCACAGACTCCCAGCGCTGGGAAGAAGTTGACATTTCTGTCCACTGTGATGTGCACATCTTTGATTGGTTGATTAAATATGTCAAGCGTAATGCAGAAGACAGGGACCAACAAGAGCCACCAGACCTTGGTGAGTATAATTGCTTTTTAGGTTTTCAGCTATATTTTTGAATAAATGTAAATAAAAAGGATTTTCTCTAAATGGCATTTTCCATGGTAGTTTTGTAGGTGTATGTTCCACCCACTGGATCTTTAAAACATCTTATGGTCTTTGGTGAACTAGATTGCCAAACAGTGGTCAAAAATGTTTTGTCTTTCAGAGCTTCATATTTACATTGATTTCCAAAGAACCATGGTTTCAAGCCTCTCTTGCCCTTTCTGCAAGCCTTCATCCATGATTGTGTGAGATGAATTACATGAAATCAGGGGCATTATTTCAAATGATAGGACCCATAAAAAATATGAAATGAGGCACCATGGCCCTCTACCCACATACAAGTAACTAACATGCTAGCATACTAATTACAGCAATCTTATAGAAATGTAGGAGCAAGATTTGTATTCATTGCAAGAGAATAAGACAAAGGTTAAATAGAATAGCCCTGAATTGTAGTGACTTTATGTGGTTGTAACATTTTACTTTTTGTTACCTTTTTTAATATACAGCTGTTTATGTATGCAGAAACCGTGACAGCGCAAATGTTTTAATACTACACTCAGTTATGTACAGTAGTCCGTCAGTCTGCTATGTATTTCATACACTAGGATAAATTGCTTATTTATCTAAAAGTAGATTTTTTTGCAGAACCTGGGAATGTTATTTCAATACTGATCTCTTCTGAGTTTTTAAAGATGGATTCATTGGTGAGTACATTATACCTAATTTGTGTTTTTTGCATACAGAATAATGCCTATGACAAACAAATTCCTTCAAAAAATCTCTATAAAAGTATATTTACAAGAACAAAAAAGTAATATATTGCAGCATAAAGTACTGTATATGTGAACCCCCACGTGGTAAACCAACCCTTTCAGTTTAAAATAGAAATGAAAGGCAAAACATTTGTGTATACATATTAAAAAACATTATAAATAACTTTTTTTAAACCTTTTTTGTGGAAAAAGTGTAGGACAGAGCAGAAAATTCCCTGTTCCCAGAAAAGATGCAGACTTTACTGGCACAACATGAGACATCCAAATGTCAAATCTTTTTACAATGGGGTTTGCTTCCATTGGGTATAACAAAATCACTAAATGTAATGAAATAAAGATAGATACAGTGGGGCAAAAAAGTATTTAGTCAGCCACCAATTGTGCAAGTTCTCCCACTTAAAAAGATGAGAGAGGCCTGTAATTGGCATCATATGTAGACCTCAACTATGAGAGACAAAATGAGAAAAAAAATCCAGACAATCACATTGGCTGATTTGGAAAGAATTTATTTGCAAATTATGGTGGAAAATAAGTGTTTGGTCACCTACAAACAAGCAAGATTTCTGGCTCTCACAGACCTGTACATTCTTCTTTAAGAGGCTCCTCTGTCCTGCACTCATTACCTGTATCAATGGCACCTGTTTGAACTTGTTATCAGTATAAAAGACACCTGTCCACAACCTCAAACAGTCACACTCCAAACTCCACTATGGTGAAGACCAAAGAGCTGTCGAAGGACACCAGAAACAAAATTGTAGACCTGCACCAAGCTGGGAAGACTGAATCTGCAATAGGCAAGCAGCTTGGTGTGAACAAATCAACTATGGGAGCAATAATTAGAAAATGGAAGACATACAAGACCACTGATAATCTCCCTCGATCTGGGGCTCCACGCAAGATCTCACTCCGTGGGGTCAAAATGATCACAAGAACGGTGAGCAAAAATCCCAGGACCACATGGGGGGACCTAGTGAATGACCTGCAGAGAGCTGGGACCAACGTAACAAAGGCTACCATCAGTAACACACTACACCGCCAGGGACTCAGATCCTGCAGTGCCAGACGTGTCCCCCTGCTTAAGCCAGTACATGTCCGGGCCCGTCTGAAGTTTGCTAGAGAGCATTTGGATGATCCAGAAGAGGATTGGGAGAATGTCATATGGTCAGGTGAAACCAAAATAGAACTGTTTGGTAGAAACACAACTCGTCGTGTTTGGAGGAGAGAGAATGCTGAGTTGCATCCATAAACACCATACCTACTGTGAAGCATGGGGGTGGCAACATCATGCTTTGGGGCTGTTTCCCCGCAAAGGGACCAGGACGACTGATTCATGTACAGGACAGAATGAATGGGGCCATGTATCGTGAGATTTTGAGTGCAAACCTCCTTCCATCAGCAAGGGCATTGAAGATGAAACGTGGCTGGGTCTTCCAACATGACAATGATCCCAAACATATCGCCCGGGCAACAAAGGAGTGGCTTCGTAAGAAGCATTTCAAGGTCCTGGAGTGGCCTAGCCAGTCTCCAGATCTCAACCCCATAGAAAACCTTTGGAGGGAGTTGAAAGTCTGTGTTGCCCAGCGACAGCCCCAAAACATCACTGCTCTAGAGGAGATCTTCATGGAGGAATGGGCCAACATACCAGCAACAGTGTGTGCCAACCTTGTGAAGACTTACAGGAAACGTTTGACCTCTGTCATTGCCAACAAAGGATATATAACAAAGTATTGAGATGAACTTTTTGATATTGACCAAATACTTATTTTCCACCATAATTTGCAAATAAATTCTTTCCAAATCAGCCAATGTGATTGTCTGGATTTTTTTCTCATTCTGTCTCTCATAGTTGAGGTCTACCTATGATGCCAATTACAGGTCTCTCTCATCTTTTTAAGTGGGAGAACTTGCACAATTGGTGGCTGACTAAATCCTTTTTTGCCCCACTGTACATGCATACTATGTATCTTTATTTCATTACTTTTAATTATATTGTCATACTCAGTTGTCCTGAGGAAGTAAAACCCATTGGGAAACCCGTTGACATTTGGATTTATATAAGATCACCTGTATTGATAAGATATCTGCCTTTACATTTATGGTTATGACAGTACAGTTATTAAGTGTTCAGTTTCAATCCAATATTGGGTATTATCTATGTATATCTTTTTATTATGGTGTTTTTCCTCACCTTTTCTTTTAAAATTGACCTGCTATTTTAATGATTGTAATAAAGATTTTTTGTACTTTATTATTTGAGTGATGTCTCATGTCATGCTAGTAAAGTCCACATCTTTTCTGGGAACAGGGAATTTGCTCTTCTGCCCTACATTTTTTTTCTATATACATTATATATTGCCAAAAGTATTGGGCCAGCCATCCAAATCATTGGATTTAGGTGTTCCAATCACCTCCATGGCCACAGGTGTATACAATCAAGCACCTAGGCATGCCGACTGTTTCTACAAACATTTGTGAAAGAATGGGTCGCTCTCAGAAGCTCAGTGAATTCAAGCGTGGTACCATGATAGGTTTCCACCTGTGCAATAAGTTCATCCGTGACATTTCCTTGCTACTAAATATTCCACGGTCATCTGTTAGTTATCGGTGTTATAACAAAAAGGAAGCAACTAGGAACATCAGAAACGCAGCCACAAAGTGGTAGGCCATGTAAAATGACAGAGTGGGGTCAGCGCATGCTGAAGAGAACAGTGCACAGAAGTCGCCAACTGTCTGCAGAGTCAACAACAGTGCGTAGAGAGCTATGGGTTTCCATTGCCGTGCAACGCAAACGTCGGATGGAGTGGTGTAAAGCATGCCACCATTGGACTCTAGAGCAGTGGAGACATGCTGAAGCTCATGGTGCGCAGAAGTTGCCAACTGTCTGCAGAGTCAATAACTAAATACCTCCAAACTTTGTGTGGCATTCAGATTAGAACAACAGTGCATAGAGAGCATCATGGAATGGGTTTCCATGCCTGAGCAGCTGCACCCAAGCCTTACATCACCAAGTGCAATGCAAAGCGTTGGATGCAGTTGTGTAAAGCACGCCACCAATGGAGACATGTTCTCTGGAGTGACGAATCACGCTTCTCTGTCTAAAAATCCGATGGGTGTGTCTGGGTTTGGCAGTTGCCAGGCGAACAGTACTTGCCTAACTACATTATGCTAAGTGTAAAGTTTGGTGGAGGGGGGATTATGGTGTGGGGTTGTTTTTCAGGGGTTGGGCTGGGACCCTTAGTTCCAGTGAAGGGATCTCTTAAGTTGTCAGCATACCAAGACATTTTTGCAATTTCATGCTCCCAGCTTTGTGGGAAGTTTGGGGATGGCCCCTTCCAGTTCCAACATGACTGCATACCAGTGCACAAAGCAAGAGCCATAAAACATAAAGACATGGATGAGCGAGTTGGGGTGGAGGAAGTTGACTGGCCTGCACAGAGTCCTGACCTCAACCCGATAGAACACCTTTGGGGTGAATTAGAGTGGAGACTGCAAGCCAGGCCTTCTTATCCGACATCAGTGCCTGACCTCACAAATGTGCTCCTGGAAGAATGGTCAAACGTTCCCATAGACACACTCTTAAACCTTGTGGACAGCGTTCCCAGAAGAGTTGAAGCTGGTATAGCTGTTATAGCTGCAAAGGTTGGGCCAACTCAATATTGAACTCTACAGACTAAGACTGGGATGCCATTAAAGTTCATGTGCATGTAAAGGCAGGCGTCCCAATACTGTTGGCAGTATAGTGTATATTTGGATGCAGTGGAAGCCTTTCGTTGTATATGTACTTTATTATAAGTGATCACATATCCTCTGTTCTCGGGGGAGGAGGCTGTGTGTGTGTGTGTGTGTGTGGGGGGGGGGGGGGGGGGCAGTACACTGATCATCCCAGTGAATGGCTGTGCAGGGGGAAGAGGGGGCATGTCTGTTCATGGGAGCAAAGAAAGCTCCCAGTACAGCCAGAAACTGACCACACTGTGCTCTCATGCCTAATAGGAAAGCTGAGGGACTGGCAGGAAACCCAAGTATTTCACACTTAGGAAGCAATACAAAGAGAACAGGATACTTTTTTACAAGTACATGGTACAACAGGCTCATATCAGGAATATGAAATGTTGGGGGTAATATATTCTTTAGCAATTCTTAGATGTGGTGGCTATATTATTTTTAATTTTTTTTATTTTTTTCTCTTTTACTTTCACCTGGTGAGCTTGCCTGGGAATCTGTCTATTTTGCACACAACGCTTTTTGGAAGTGACCTAATATACCCTGGATATATTTACCTCTTCTGTTTAACTTCTCTTTATTGAAACATCACTTGATTTCAATGCTCATACGTGGCATGGCAGTTAAAGCTGAATCTTTTTATTTATTGTTCCCTTTACTCTTTCTTTGTCTAGGTAGAGGAATGCATACATTACTGTCACAAGAACATGAGTGCCATTGTAGCCTCCCCGTGCAATATGAACTGTATTAATGCCAACCTATTAACCAGGATCGCTGATCTCTTCACTCATAATGAGGCAGATGATATAAAAGACAGAAAAGACAAATTTAAGAGGTATAAATAACAACATATAATTTTAAATGTAATTTATTTTGCATAAAGCTCTGTTGGAACATGATTGTAAATTATATACTTGTAACAGCACATTTTCCGAGTAGCATTTATAATGATTATTTTTATATGTGTATTACTTTTCAAATTAAATGAAAGCAAAGTCTTTTAAATTTTTTTTTGCAAATTTTCATTTGAAAATATTTTTAGCCTAATGTAAATCAAATTAGCATGTTTTAATGTTTTAATATCCTTGTTTCTGTATAAATTGTATTTATATTTGTACATATGGCAGTTGTATGTTTTGTGTATGTGTTATTCCTGCTTAGCAATTCTGGATAGTTGCTATGTCTTTTACTCTCTGCCAGTGTAAAAACTGGCCATACATTGATTGAAATTCAGCCACTTCAACAGGGACGGGCTGTATATTGATCAGTATGTGACCATCCCTGCTCGACTGAAGTTGTCCATTGACTGACCACTGTCAAAATGACATGAAAACTTTCTTTGATCAGCGGCTGCAGCCATTTGGCTGCAACTGGTAATCGGTGTACAATGATTCTGCCTTGTTTGTGTGAAAGGAGGAATACTGACCAAAAAAATCTAACAGCGTACAGTATGTCTAACAGCTTTCGTCTATTCTATAGAGGGGATTTACTAAAACTGGAGCACTCGGTATCTGGTTCAGCTGTGCATGGTAGCCAATCAGCTTCTAACTTCAGCTTGTCCAGTTAAGCTTTGACAATAAAACTTGGAAGCTGATTGGTTTCTACAGACCCGCTTGATACTGTTATTATGCCAGCAATAACAGGGCACTTCATTATATTAGGTTTTCAGTTTATGTTTTCCTAAATGGGTAACGTAGACCACAGTGCCAATATGGGTAAAGCCTATTCGGTATTTTAAAGTAAACCTGTGCTTTGCCCACTCAAAACATAACCCTGCTTGGCAGCATATATTTACCTTCCTTTCACTCCCCCACCACTATTTAAAGTATAACTAAAGGCAAAATGTTTTCTTAGTTATGGATAGAGTGGAAAGGAATTCGAACACTTGTCATTTTTTTTGCTGTCTTTGCCCCTGGTTAGGGAGATTCAACCTCTCTATTTGTCCTGTTTACCATTATCATTGAAAGCGAAAGTAAAAGAAAATCCCAAATTTTGGGTTGACCCCAGACAAGTAATAGTTGGGGAATCTTCAAATGGGGATGCTAATTCTGGTGGCCTGGGGGTCCCCAAGAAATTCCCCTCACTTCCTGTTTGGCTATGGGACAGGAAGTGAAGGGAAATCTCCGCAATGAGACAGAGATGGTGAAAAAAAATCTGACAGGGGTTATTATACTCCCTTACTCTATCAAATTTGAAAAAAATTGCCTATAGTTCTACTTTAAGCGCCAAGAGCGAAGGAAAGTCCTTTCTAAACTAAACGTTTCTTCCTGAGGACGCCAAGTGACGAACCATGTAGAGGCTGTACCTATGGTCGTCATATCCGTCATAGTCCCTGACATCACTTCCTGTTTCCAGGATTTGCAACACACGCCGAGCTCCAGGAAGTGGAATGGTGGTTCATACTCTATCAGTGTTTATTAGTACACTATTAGCTCAGTGCTTATTTGTAAGTGCAATACTTTTATTGAAACGTTTTAATAAATACTACACCCTAAGAGATTCTTTCTTTATGGTCCTTGGTTTACATTAATGGGAAGTGATCGGGCATTAAGAAAAATTGATGATTGGAGGAAAGTTAGCATTAGCAGTTAAAGGGCATCTGGAATATCAAGCGGTTTTATGACCTTTTCTATTAAGAGGGTTATGGATCTGTGGTGAGTGCATTGTGGTGGCACATAAGGGGAATCAATTTTGGAAGAAGTGGTGGCACAAAAACAAGATTTTTCTTTCCACATTGGTGTTGGACTGTGACATAGCACAATTTATTTCATTACATGTCTTAATGTGATTTGATTTGGATTTTTGATTATGTGGACTTGACCTAGGTTGATTGGGGGATAGTTTTGCATATATTTAGGATATACATAGTGTAAGCGCCATACTTGCTGCTATATATTCATTTAAAAGTTACTTACAATGATAATCTGGGCAATTGATATGGTGTTTTCTGCACCATGTCTCCAAATTAAAGAATTTTCAAAGAAGGGTAATTATGGGACTTTGAAGGTGCTTACAATATCGCAAACTGTTAAAATGTAACAATTGTTTATTTTGTTACAGGTTTACCTATTAAAAAACAGTATTATTACCTATTAAAAAAACAGTATTATGAATGAATACGGTCTTGTCCTCATTTTTTTGGTGGTATATTGATAGTCCCAACATGTTTCACCCAATGGGGCTTCTTCAGGGGACACAACCACTGCAACTTTAATAATATGACGAGGAAACAGAACAACAATAAACAACTTGATAATAAACCTATTTAACTAAAATAATAATAATAATACACTATCTACAGTACATTGTCTGCAGTCTTGGTCAGATAATGCTTACCCCTTGAGATTTATGAAGCCTCTTAATAAGAAGAATAAGATAAATCTTCAGATATAATGTCAAGCAACAAAATCTGATATGACCACAGGAGGTACAAAAGGACCAACTATAATAAAAAAATAATGATTATAATTCTATAAATATAGAGACCATCAGTGAGGTTCTCGCTTATTAATCCTTACTTACAGATATATTATTGAAGAGAAATTTACTCACTGGCGCCTGTATAGATTGATGATAGATAAATTTATCAGTTTCATACCCACTAAAAAACAACTTACACAGGGCTGTGGACTCCCTGCATGAAAATGCTGATTGGCCCACAGCTGTCACATGACATGAGGCACATACTCCTCCATGCTCTGAAGTACCAGGTATTGCAATTGGCTTCAAGAACTGAACTGCACAGTAGGACAGCAAAGATAGATAAATATATTCAGGGAATGGGGCAAAGCACAGGTTTGCTTTGAGTTACATTATAACTCTGGTCCAAACTTCTGATCTTAATCATACAGCACAGGACACTGGATATTCCTAGACCCTGGGTTACAGGCTGCTCCCTTCAGGTGTTTGGACAGTGGCAAATCTTTTGGACATGCCCCCTTGGATGTACCCCCTAAAATCTTACCTTTCTCTTTGAGACCTCAGTTTTTTTGTCCTTATGTGATGGACTTCTCTCCTTTATAAAGAAGTTCTTATACGTAACGAGTTCTTATTTAGCTTGAATTCTTCAACTCTTCACTGCTTTCTATTATCAGCCAAGACTTATTAAACAGGAAATACTGTAATTACAACCTCTGTAAAGTTTATTGCTATCTGTGTACCTTTTGCATCGATCTCACCTATTTGTTCAAAGTAACTGAGAGAAAAATAGGGGAAATCCACAGTTCTACAGTTGTCATTGAAACAGATTTGTGGGGGTGAAGGGTGGTATTTTAAGCAAAGATGCTTGTTCCAGTGACAGCGGTCAAAGGTGAGATTTCCCTTAGTTTTTGAGGAGATTTCCACTTACTTCCTGTTATTTCTCTGGGGACAGGAATAACAGAGAGATTGAACTCATGATGATGCAGACAACAATAAAAGCCTGATAGAGCTTTTAAACCTCACTCTATCTAAAAAGAAAATTCACTTGAGTTACATTGTAAAGAGAAAAGTGGCCCATGCATTCATTATTTTTTTTAAACAACCAGCAGGTTGATTCCCACATCCACACATTTGAGGTGGATAGGGGAATCACTCCCACTGTGATACTGTGCTCTGACACCTGGGAGTCTTGCCGCCATCAGAACATAATGATCAGTGTTCCCGGCAGTAGTCAGCTGCACTGACCATTCGGAGAAAACCCAGCAGACTTTTATACAACCAGGGTGTCCATACTTGAATTGCTGAACCAGTGGAATTTTGATCCTTGTATCGCCAGCTAAACTTTTGCCTTGCCCATGCAGAGCAAAACAACAGTGTCTATGCAAATCTCTCCTCTGACCCTTTATTCTAACGTTACCAGTATTTCCTTGCCTCTCCTTCCTCCCCTGCAGCCAGCACTGAGATTACTGATATTGGTGACCCAGGAGAATAGTAACCTTACTATCTGAGTCAGATAAAAGTGCCTCGATCTAGTGATTGGCTGCTTGACCTGAACACCGTCACAGGGAAGGAGGTCCTCAATAACCAGAGGTGTTTGGTATTGTGGACATCTTCAGAGGAGGATAGAACGTCTAGAAAGCAATAATAAGGTGATTGGCAGGGGGACCTGCATGGGCACGGTGGCACTGTCCCTCTTAAACTACCACTTATCTGCCAGCAGAACCAAGAGAACTTTTTTCTCTTAGCTTGTCTTTAAGCATTTTGTAAGAATATGTTCTTGTTTTACAGCAAAATATTCTGCAAAAAAATAGAACGACTTTTTGATTCAGAGTTTAAGAATCCAGATTCTCTATCAAATGCTTCAACTTTATACAGGTAAGCACTTATGTCAAACATAAGTGTTTGATTGTCTGCTGTAAACAGCAGCTATGGAGATCAGCAATGTAAATATTCTCTTGTAGGTGCTGTTTATGTAAGAAGCTGCTGACAAAAGAAGTCAAGCAGAAAATTGCCTGTCTACCTGGAAAAATCAACATCGACCAGTATGGAAATATTGTTTATTTTCACGTAAGGTTTGTACATTTCAATTTCAGATTTTTCAGATTTTTTTATTGCCCCTTTCAGAATTAAGCAAAGGTGATGAGACATCTGCATATGTATGAGACCAGCTACATAGAGATCTGATGCTTTTCTTGTTCACCCTGATAAGTCAGAGTTTTGTAGAATAAAATAAATATTTATTTTTTTTGAAAGTACATTTTTTTGTTCAATATTTTTATTTAAGAATAAAATGGAATACACATGTCATTAAGGTTACGTTGCCATTGATATTTCTATTTCCACAAAAAACTTTTTATAGAGCAAGAGAAAAAATTAGTGTGGCACACAAACAGGAATCAGGTTTACAGCACAAGAATGTACATAAGAAACACCTGAACATGTGTCACAAGAATAAATAAAAAGAGAGAGGATATTGAAACACGAATTTCGTGGCCAGCATAGTTATAGAGAGAGGCTCATCAGCATACATTGCCATTGATATATATATCCAACAGTGCATCAATAAAGTAAGCTGATGTTCTATAGAGCTGCAGTGATAGTCAATGTCACTTTTTTTTCCACAAATGCATATTGTACATGCCAGAAGGAAAAATGGCATGCGCATTAAGGAAAGAGGAGAAGAAAGGGATAAGAAATGTGGAATCGGATGCTAGAGGGGATGAGCACCTCTGGTCCTGTGTCAAACCTCAGTTTAGATCCAAAACTCTTCTGTTTCACAAATCTATCGGTCTACACTCAAAGTCTGAAGGTAGAAAATGGAACTCTGTCAATTTTGCTGTTAGTTTTCATTAATATATGCCGTACGTATCTTATATTTCATCGCCATTATTGAGAGCCAGTCAGATAGCCAAGCTTTAGCTATTGTTTGTTTAATTGTTGTAAGGATGCAAATCATTAATTTAAATTGACATTTAGAGAGCTTGAGATTGAGTAAAGCTTTAGTGGGTAACCCAGAGACAGAGGTACCCAATAGTAGGGCCCGCCAATCATATATTTGAGTCCACATCTGTTGTACTATTGGACAGATCCACCAGATGTGGAGTTATGTCCCTGAATCTGAGCACCCTTGAAAACAAGCCCAAGTGTTGGATCTAAGTGCCACCTCTACAACAATTTACTGTGTATTAGGTAAGTTTTTATAAATGGTAATTTAAGACAGCTGGAGACCATTGACTGTATTAAACTGTTTCCATACTAAAGGAACAATGACGTGATTAGTTACCCTTAAGGAACTATTCTGATTTGAATCTTTATTGGCTTTATGTGATTAGATACCTACAAATGTATAGTTTTCAAACAAAGTGCACTTGTCTTTTTTGCCCCCTTAACTGTGCTAAACTGGCAAGTCAAAAGGAGGGGTTGATATATTTTCCTAAGAGTGGCAGAGGTGAGCACCCTATGTTTAGTCACTGATAAAGCCATAAACTAAAAGAGTCCACATACTGTAAAATGCTGCTCATTAAGAAGATAAAACATAGTAGCATTAGATTATATGGTACACGGTTAGTAAAAAAAAAAGAGGTAGACATTTTACAGAGTGAAACAATATTTATGATAGCCAGATCCACTTTGTGATTACTGTTTGTCTATAATGTGACTCTTCAGTGCGAATTCTTCCTGCTGACAGAGTGAGAACAATGTCTTGGTGTAGAGAGTATTGTTCTAAAATCAGATTTGGACTGGCAACAACATAAATCACAGATTCTTTTTTTCTTGAATTTACAGAGATAAAACCTGGGACATTCATGAATACTTGACAAGTTCATTTGAGGAACTTAAATCCTGGCGGGATGTTTACTGGCGTTTGTGGGGAACTGTAAACTGGCTGACTTGTTCCAGGTGTAAGCAGGTCAGTGCCTATGGAGGAGTACTAGAAGCAAAAATTTGGAGTGTCACAGTTTACATGACTCCAAATAGGAGCATACACATACTGAAAATACATACTGTATACATAATGTACAATTTCGAACAATAGAAAACATATACAAGTGGCAAAAAAGGAGGTTTTTATTACTCTGTGTCCTTGCTGGAAGGATTCACTCTCTCTGGAGGTGTCACTGCACAAGATTAAAAGTGGAAATCTTTTAATGAAGACACTTATTGAAGTGAAAACTAAGAGAGGATATTTTTTACTTTGGAAAGAAGTTCCTCTCATTTCCTGTTGTGTCTTGAGACAGAGGGAAAAGACAAATTTCTCCAAAGGGACACAGACCGCAACAAAAAAGGGGGATTTAACCATTAAAATATCCAAAATGTTAAAGGTTAATTGACATCTGTGCTGTACGATTTAGGTGTGTTGCATTTTAGGTGTGTTATACATCTGTTTTAGTTGCAGTACCATTGAACTCTCTATAACATGCATTTTCATGAAATTGCAATGACACATAGAAGGCACAGGTGTGAACAGGACATAAAAAGCTCATTTAGCAGTTTATACTGAAAATTGCAGTACGATATACACTTGGTGGCAGTCACATAGACATTCTGTTTTTGCCAAGTCAATCTACAAAATGTTTAGTAAGGAAAAGTCTAACTTATACGATTGCCATATGTCTATAAATTTGGTGACCTCTCAGCAGTGCAGCACTGTTATGTGCTATCAGGCTGGTCACCTAGCAGTCTGCTTATGATATGACACAACAGTATGCACCCCTCTCCACATCAGCAGCCAAGGTATTATGAGGTGCATCAGGGAGGGTTTACTTGAAAAAGTAAATAAGGTACCTCTATTGACTCTTGTATATTTTATAACCTTATTGACTCTTGTATATTTTATAACCTAAGTGCATATTAACCTGTGCTAACAAAAAGGGCTTACCATTGCTGACCTCATTAGAAAATTGATAGTTGCCTGCATGTCATCCTAAATTAATGGCTTTTTTTCATATTTAGGTCAGTTCTGACTTCATTAACAATGCTTGCTACAGAGTGTTCCTGTAACATTGAATGATTGAGGTCAAACAACAAAGATGAGTGTGATCAAACACTGCTGATCACTTAGTTCTACCCTCTGTTCTGAGCAGAGAGCTGTAACTGTCATTCATCAGGTCTTTGCTCTGCCCCTCCAGCACTCACTGGAGCTCTGGGCTGTAGAGGGGGCTATAGCAGCTGGCTCAGTCTCTCAGCCACTCACTAAGAAGCTTAGCCAGGTGCCAGTTCAAGCTTCTGGGTGGATCCCGACATTAAAGTTGGGATCTTTAGAGCCTGGACTGACTGAGTGATGTCAGCTGACAGCAGGCTTAGGTTGCTGTCAACTGAAAAAGGGTCATAAGACTGCAGAGCGAACTGCAATCCTGTGATCACCAAGAGGGTATAACCAAAATAGTTTTGGATATACTTCTCCTTTATGATAAATAAAAGCGGGCAAAGCTAAGATCTGTAGAATGGAGATCTCACTTAAAAGTTGACCATACTCTGTTAGTTTTTTATATCATGTAGCCAATGGCCCAAAAGAAAAAAAAAAAAGAACAGATTCCTCCATCCACACAAACAAAATGGATGGAGGAATTCCCCCACCGGGACACCGTATTCTGACATTGTCAGAATATACCAACTCAGGGGCGGACTGACCATTTGGAAACCCGGGCACTGCCCGAGGGCCTGGGGTCAGTAGGGGGTACCATGAGATGCCTCTGGTACCTTTTTCATAGGCTTTTTTGAGTTTGGGCAAGGACACAGGGGCCCCATGATCCCCTATTGCCCGGGGGCCCCATGAGTTGTCAGTCCGCCCCTGTACCAACTAGCAACTGCAACTGATCGACTGCAGCAGCTGATTGGTGGAACATTTTTCAACATGCTCCTTTGACAGGAATGGATTAAACAAATTACTTCCGTCAAGTGGGGAAGCCTTCACACAGACTGAGCTTCAATAAGTGTATGATCAGCTTTGAAGACCCAAAAGGAGTCCCAAAAAGGAGATGCCAGTGAGTGATTAAATCTACATGAGTACACCCATAAATTAATATCAGTATTTGGTGTACTTATTCTTTATTATGCAGCTGTATCATGAACTAAGAACATGTTATAATATTTTTGGTTTACTGCATTTCTAGACTTTCCTTTGTAATGAGCTGTCACATTGCCAATACCACCCCGAGCCTGCTGTTTACCCCAGCGCTGCAAGCTCCTTGGATTCTCCAGGCACTGGATTCTATCCCTGCTGTAACCAGAAGGTCCTCAGGTTCGATCCCACCCAGCTTCCAAAGGTTAGATTCATTGTACTACTATTTTTCATCTGTGTTGAGAAAGGCTCTGCAATGTATCATATGGGCAGGATTTGACCAGGGAAAGACCTCTCTGTAAACATGCACAATTGGAGCAAACAACTCAAGCTAAAAACCCTCACACAGTTGCCTTATTACCTCTTTCTTTTGATAGCTGTCCTACAAGGTGTTTATAGCCTCGCTGCAGAAACTCCCTATAGTCTTAGATTGGGCCTTACTTCAACTGTACAGATACAGCTTATTCATCTCTGTGGGAAGTAATGGCACAGACACTGGCAGCTCAAGTCAAGGGTAACTAGCATAATTAAAGAATTCACCACCATGGACCTGTGCGATGACCCTACAGCTTGCCTCCTGCACCTGATGGGGAGACCCATCAAAAAATACTAAACCTCCCTTACTATCCAATTGCTAAACTCAGCAAAGGCCTGTATTCCACTTCGCTAGAAGGATGTGCTTCCTCCCATGCTCTCTATCTGGTTCTCCAAGGTAAAAAAACTTAGAGACATGGAAAACCTTATGGCTATCTTGCGCAACAAAGAGGAATCCTTTCGTGACATATGGCGCCCCTGGGACTACTTTGTTTTAACAGATACTTACCTAAATGAGCTTACACCTCCCCATTGAAGCTCACCTTTCTATGCCCCCATCATGCTCCCTGGGTTCTGTGCCCTACTCCTTTCCCTCTCCCTCTTTTTCCATCTGGCCTCTCCTCCCGACCCTGTTCCCCTCTACCCCTCCTTCCATTGCCCCTCTTCCCTATACCGCCTTCTCAGCCTACTTATGCGGGCCCTTTGCCCAACCCATAGACTGCACACCAGTTAGTCTAGTATAGCTGCCCATACTGTTTGAGAGATATCAGCTGATTTGAAACCTCCATTTTACATATATTCATTTGTTTTTCTTTTATCAATGATAGGTGATACTTGCTGTAGATTTAAATCAGCTGGAGTGGATAAAAATCATATTATGTCATAGGGTACTTTGTCACATATTCTCAGTTGTGTTAGTTTGCATAGTTACCTGAAAAGTTAATATATTGGGCAGTTTATGCTGTTAATGTATCATTATAGTACTTTGTTAGCCAGCAGGTAAAGTTTAAATGTTATTATACTACAGGATTTATATAGCACCAACAGTTTGCACAAATTGTATGTCCCCTTAGTTGTGGAACTGCTATCATTACATCTGATAGAGCTGCTTTCACAAAGTCAGAGGAATCAGACCCCAAAAACAGCATTCTCTTAGTATTCTTTTCAGAGGCTGTAATACAGTGTATATTGTTGTGACTGACTGCCTGCTTACTTGCATACACAACATAACTCAAGTCCGTCAGTCCATCTTGTACCATAAGGCTTCTGATTAGAGGGTTATAAACTGTGGTTATTTTACAATGGACCTGTTAACATTTAATGTAGATCCACCTTTGCCTACCCATGTTAACAAGGCATCCATTTTAAAATTATGTACATTACTTATCTTCTAGGGCTGTAAAGTAAGGGACCATATTATTGGTTTGCCAGAAGGGGACAATGCACCAAAGAGTTCTTCTACAGACATACTAACAGATCTGCTGCAGAGAAGGGATATTATAGTTGTGCCTTTTTCTAAAGACTTGAATGGGTAAGAAATAACCTCCCTCTAAATTAATTTCTCATATATTATCACTGAACACTTACAGATCCAAACATTCTTATCTACAGGGACTCTGGAATTACACTTAGTCAAGACAAGAGTCTTGAATGTGATGTCCAGTTGGAACCGAACTCTGTAGGTGGACAGAAGGCTGCAGAAATCAATGCTGTGAGTTTGTCTTTATGTTAAACAGAAACATGTGCTGACTAAAATAGTGGATAAGAATGAAAAGACACTCCAAAGAAAGAAAACATATCGGGGGACTTTCAGAACCAAATGCCTTTCAAATGTAACTAAATAATTGTCAGTTGGGTTTTGATTGCAAAACCCCATCCTTGTACACCCATCTTCACAAAAAGCCATTACAAATACTTCTTAAAGCCAACTTATACTCCACTGAAACTTTTAAAGTCTTGCCTAACAGCAGGCAACACTTGATGTCTTTTTTAGGAAGAAAATGCTCTTCTGTGTCCCTCTGTAGTTTACATTTACTTTTTTCCTGAAGTCTGACCTCATGATGTGGTGCCAGCACTGTCCAGAATGAATACTGGTCTAGCCAAGAAAAAGTCAAAACCAAACCAACAGACTCCCTTTCTTCTAAGATCTGTTGGCCAAAGGTGTGCATGGTCTACATGGCAATTTTTTAATGTCTATGGACACTTTAAGTTCAGCATTACTAAGCCTAGTCTTTCTTTGGTGACTCCAATGGTAAGACATTATTTTTCCACCCTACTCCTGTGACTATTTTAAAGCCAAATTATTATGCCATGCTTCCCTAATGGATTCTCAATAGAGTAAAGAGTTATATAGCATAATAAAGAGTAATATTTGGATAATCCAAGAATGAGAGATTGATGACCTTCTGGAATGAAGCAGACGTATGTGTTATTAAAAAGAGTTGTTGGCAGTGAAGTATCCAAAAGTTTAAATAAACTAGCAGGTAATTGAAAGGACTGGTGCCCACTCAAAATTAAAGGTTTTGCATGCAGTGGTCTTTGAATTCACTCTTGATACTACTCATAGAAACATAAATATATGTTTTTTTGTTAATATCCTGGATAAAATCTCAAAACCCTCACAAAATGTATATTCTTCAGCTAATCTAAGTAATCTCTCCCTCTCGTGTTTTTGTTTTCTCTGTATATTCCTTCCATGGTTAGTTTCTTTCACTAAAAAACTTCAGCCTGCAGTTGGTAAGTATTTTTCTTACTTCTCTTTTATATTTTCACCTGGACATTTTACTGTGAAATCATTCATGAATGTGCCATGTATGTATGTAAGTACTAATGAGTACTGTTTAGCTGGGAAGTTGCTTTAAGGCAACTTGTAAGGTCATAAAAGTGTCCAAAGTGTTCAAAAGTGTACAGTTTAGCAAATTGTCAGGTCATAAAAGTGTTCAAACTAACAATATTCACAAAGTGCAAGACCTTTACGGTACTTGAATAATTGACTACCTTTAAGTGATTTAGGTATGATTGGTGTTTGTGGTGTTTTTTAAAGCCTCTTTTTTAAACTCTGTCATTTTGAAAACATGGCCCATTTGCTAAAAGTTAATCGCCCATAACACTGGGCCCCAGGATAGACATGCACTGTGACACATCATATTTTGAACTGAAAGCAAATGCTTCACCTTGACTGTTGTATATCAAGGCATTAGGCACTCCCTTTTGTCACTTATGTACATCGGGCCTGTTCTCCTGCTGAAGATGTTGGAATCAATTTTTATTTTCTATATTCAATGCTAGCCACTGTTCCTCCATGCTGCCATAAACTATAAGTAAACCCACATATGTGCTTATCCTGTCCTTAACCCTTTTAATAGATGACAGTTCGATTTGAGATCCCAATATACCATTCCTAGAAAGGACTGTCATCAGACAATGTTGTGGATGCAGCATACTTTAAATTTCAATGGCAGCCAGGATCATTCAAGTCAATCATTGTCTATTCAGATAAATATTTAGTTTATTAGTTCTTTGCTCCTTTGTGAAACCCTATACTATGCAGCTGTACTAATTATCAATGAGATAATAACAGAATTACTTATTTTAAATGCACTGTGAACGGTAAGTGCTATTCAGCTGTGCTGCATAGTACCACAGTTTGTGAGTGGTTTTATGTTTCATTCTCTAATAAACAGAAATACGCTGTATTGCCAAAAGTACTTGGACGTCTCTCTTTACACGGACATGAACTTTAATGGCATCCCAGTCTTAGTCTGTAAGGTTCAATATTGAGTTGGCTCACCCTTTGTAGCTATAACAGCTTCAACTCTTCTGGGTAAGGCTGTCTACAAGGTTTAGGAGTGTGTCTATGGGAATGTTTGACCATTCTTCCAGAAGCGCATTTGTGAGGTCAGGCACTGATGTCGGACGTGAAGGCCTCGCTCTAATTCACCCCAAAGGTGTTCTGTCGGGTTGAGGTCAGGACTCTGTGCAGGCCAGTCAAGTTCCTCTACCCCAAACTCCCTCATCCATGTCTTTATGGACCTTGCTTTGTACACTGGTGTGCAGTCATGTTGGAGCAAGAAGGGGCCATCCTCAAACTGTTCCCACAAAATTCAGAGCCTGAAATTGTCCAAAATGTCTTGGTATGCTGACGCCTTAAGAGTTCCCTTCACTGGAACTAAGGGGCCAAGCCCAACCCCTGAAACACAACCCCACACCATAATCCCCCCTCCACCAAACTTTACACTTGGCACAATGCAGTCAGGCAAGTACCATTCTCCTGGCAGCCGCCAAACCCAGATATGTCCATCGGATTGCCAGACAAAGAAGTGTGATTCAGAAAAGAGAAAAGCACTCGTGGTATCTGCAGTATTGTACTTTTGGATTGTTCACTTTCACCTGGCTTGTTTCCATAGGCATGAAAGGATTGTCAGTGATATGTGAACATTGTGTAATTTAAGTTAATTTATCATCGGGACATGATGTTAAATATAGTAGTGCTCAAAGTTTGCATACCCTTGGAAAATGGGTACAGTATGTACCATTTTAAATAAAACATGAGTGAGCAGGCAAAAACACATTTCCTTTATTTCTTAAGTGATTCACATTCAACTGTAGGTCATAACAGAATTGACTATCATAAAACAAAACATGGCAACAAGTATGACCCTGTTCAAAAGTTTGCATCCCCTTAGTTCTTAATACTATGCATTACCCCCTTTAGCATCAATGACAGCGTGCAGTCTTTTATAATAGTTATCTATGAGGTCCCGAATTCTTGCGGGTGGTATAGCTGCCCAATAGTTGTCTTGCAAGAGCCACACATTTGAGATCTCCCCAGAGTGGCTCAATGATATTAAGGTCATTAGACTGTGATGGTCACTTCAGAACTTTCACCTTTTTCTGATGTAACCACTGGAGGGGCATCTTGGCCTTGTAGTTAGGGTCATTTTCATGCTGGAAAGTCCAAACAGCGCTCCATGCACAGCTTTCGTGCAGGAGAATGCAAATTGCCTGCCCTTATTTTCTGATATCATGCTGCATTCATCTTGGCATCAAGATTCCCTGTTCCATTAGAGATCACACACCCCCAAAACATCAGTGAGCCACCACCATGCTTCACAGTGGGAATGGTATTCTTGTCACTGTTGACCCCTCTCCAAACATAGCGCTTATGGTTGTGACCATAAGGTTCTATTATGGTCTTGTCACTCCAGATTACAGTGTGCTAGAAGCTGTGAGGCCTGTCCAGGTAATGTTGGGCATATTGTAACCATATTGTTCACGGCTTCCTGTAGGTTTTTCTTTGTATCCCAACAATTCTTCTGGAAGCTGTGGCTGCAATGTTTCTTGGTCTACCTGACCTTGGCATGGTATCAACAGATCCCAAATTTTCCACTTCTTAATAAGTGTTTGAACAGTACTGACTGGGATATTAAGGGCGTTGGGTATCTTTTTATATCCTTTTCCATCTTTGTGCAGTTACATTATCTTGTTATGCAGATCTTTTGACAGTTCTTTTCTACTCCCCATGGCTCAGTATGTAGTCTGCTCAGTGCATCCATGTGAGAGCTAACAAACTAATTGACTATACACAGATACTAAGTGCAATTTAAAAAGCCACAGATGTGGAAATTAACCTTTAATGGCCATTTTAACCTGTGTGTGTCACCTTGTGTGTCCGTTCCAAGACCAAACAATCCAGAGTATGTAAACTTTTGATCAGGGATATTTGGGTGATTTCTGTTATCATTATGATTTAAAAAGGAGACAAACAACTATGTGATAATGAATGGCTTCATATGATCACTATCCTTAAAAAAAAAAAAAAAGACAGTTTTTTGGCATGATCAGTCATATTTTCAATATCAATGCCACAATTTCACGATTTTTGCCAGAGTATGCAAATGTACGCACAACTTTATTTTTGTAGAGATTTATAGGAGTGTATAAGAGTTTTATGTATATTTTGCACACACTTTAATTTGGACACAATGTATTATTTGGGTATTTTAAATAAATAATTCAGATAAATAGTATTAACTGAGCTTACCCTATGCACAGACTTGTGTCGCTAAAAGCTTACTGCACACCGATATCTATGCCAGCATGTGTGACATTTTCATAGCAAAAAAAAAAAAACACTACTGTGTGTGTATGTGTGTGTCCCTCATCCCTCTAGTTGTTCTTTAATCGAGATATGTCTCCTTCTAGAAGCAACAATCATTACTATCAGAAGAGGAAGATTATACAACTGGATCTGAGGTGACTGAAGATGAGGTTGGAGATGAGGAAGAAGTATCAAAGAAACAAGGTAGACTTGGTATACTGTACTATTAAATGTCATTTTTTTTTTTTTTTAATAACCAGGTTTTATTAGAGTTTTCAAACAGTACAAAAGCAAAAATGTTAAAATTACAATTTCAGGCATACTCAAGGATCATACAGTGTATAGCATGACTCAGATGTATCATATAAGGAACACAAAGCAAGTAAAGTGCATCAAAAGTCACATCATGCTCCAAAGCAAACATTAGCTTGGTAAAAAAGCACGAAGAGCCTATACACTGTCAGAAGAAGCACTTTGCCTGTAGTACACAACAGAACTGCATCAAGGGGGGGATGAAAAAAGGGGGAGAAACATCAAAAAATATTTCTTACTAGCTAACAACTGGGCAACAAAAAGCGCAGTAGATGTGGGTGGCTCAAAATGCTAATCTGGTTCAAAGTGGGTAAGGAGATTACTATAGGTTATGGGAAGATAAACTTAATTGTCTGGAATCTCTGCCAACTATTAACTGTCATTTAATGGCAATGGCACAGCTATTTTAGCTTTTGCATTCTTTACTTTTACATTTCATATGGAAGTATTAAATACTAATATATGAATCAGTGTCCTTGTAAATGGGATACATCTCGTTCCATGAGGTTTATTGCCAATAAGCTGTGAGAAATCTTTGACGTTGACCATAGACATAAGATCAATGTCTTTTGATTTGGCAGAAATGGATCAGCCACCCATATTATGTCTACGGCACCCTCACATGACTCTCAGCAATCATTATGATGGGTATATGATTGATCAAAGAAATTGAAAATCTTTTTTTCAATCACTGTTGTCCTTCCTGTCCATTTTGAGTTTTAATTAAAATAAAGTACCTTGCTTAATAACAATTCTCTTTAGCAGGAAGAAAAGAGAAACCAAAGAAGTTCAGCAGACAACCAAAAAAACATGTATCTTCCCCTAGTATTCATAAAAAAGAAAAAACACAAGAAAAGGTAAATACTTCTTCCTGTTCTTCATTTCCATATGGCTCTGTAATCTTGAAGTTAAACTAGCCACAGATAAGTAGATGTCTGTAAAAAAATGATAGTTGGTATGACATCTGCTCATGCTTACTCAGAGCTCTACGTTTCATCATGTTCTTCCCTCAACTCTGTAGAGTGATGCTTTGTTCTTTATTCTCAGCTTCCAGTCTGCAGAAGCTTTCAGTGTGTCCTAGGAATGATTCTAAAGGTGCAAGGAACGCTAGGGAGGTTTACATCTTGGGAACCATACTTAGAGTACAGTATCATGTTTTGTAATATATAATGCTGTTAGGTATAATCTCACAAGCAATATCTCCAAATCACAAGGCAGCTCAACGGTGGATATCCTATGTCAATATACATTTATAACTAGTTATGATAATTTGATATGGTTGTACTTTGGCCTATTCATATTTTTTATTTTCATGCAGCAAAACTTATGCATGTTGCTACATAAAAATGCAGTTCAGGCAGAAATACCTTTATTTTTGATTTTGTAGGTTCCAGTCTATGCACTGCATTTGACTGTGAATAGAAAACTTGACAGGCCCATTCACAACAATGCATGTGTCTTACCGTACATGCCACAATGCACAAAGAACAGTGTGAATCCAGCTTTACATATAATGTCCATCGTTTTTTCTGTCTTAAGCTCCGGAGGAGTTTGTTTTTAGATATATTGGCATTGTTTGCCCAAATGTTGTTGCCTACGTCATATTTTGATCACAGTTCTAGTCATTCTTCCCCCAAATCTCCACCTCTTACTTTTTTCTTTGCAAACTTTTATACTGTGCATCCATAAAGTATTCAGAGCGATTAACTTTTGTCACATTTTGTTACAGTCTTATTCCAAAATGGATTAAATTAATTTTTTTCATCAACAATCTACAAACAATACCTCATAATGACAACGTAAAAGAAGTTAGTTTTGAAATCTTTGCAATTTATTAAAAATAAAAAACAAAAAAAATCACATGTACATAAGTATTCACAGCCATGACACTTTGCCATGACACTCAGAATTGAGCTCTGGTGCATCCTGTTCCCACTGATCATCCTTGAGATGTTTCCACAACTTCATTGGAGTCCACCTGTGGGAAATTCAGTTGGTTGGACATGATTAGGACAGGCATAAACCTGTCTATATAAGGTCCCGCAGTTAACAGTGCATGTCAGAGCACAAACCAAGCCATGAAGTCCAAGGAATTGTCCGTAGACCTCCAAGACAGGATTGTATCAAGGCACAGATCTGGGAAAGGGTACAGAAAAATTGCTGCAGCATTGAAGGTCCCAATGAGCACAGTGGCCTCCATCATCTGTAAATGGAAGACGTTTGGAACCACCAGGAATCTTCCTAGAGTGGGCCACCTGGCCAAAATGAGCGATTGGGGGAGAAGGGCCTTAGCCAAGGAGGTAACCAAGCACCCGATGGTCACTCTGAAAGAGCTCCAGCGTTTCTCTGTGGAGAGAGGAGAACCTTCCAGAAGAACAACCATCTCTGCAGAACTCCACCAATCAGGTCTGTATGGTACAGTAGCCAGATGGAAGCCACTCCTCAGTAAAAGGAAAATGGCAGCCTGCCTGGAGTTTGCCAAAAGGCACCTGAGGAACTCTCAGACTATGAGAAACAAAGACTCTCTGGTCTGATGAAACAAAGATTGAACTATTTGGCCTGAATGCCAAGCGTCATGTCTGGAGGAAACCAGGCACCACTCACCACCTTGCCAATACCATCCCTACAGTGAAGCATGGTGGTGGCAGCATCATGCTGTGGGGATGTTTTTCAGCAGCAGGAACTGGGAGACAAGTCAGGATCAAAGGAAAGATGAATGAAGCAATGTACAGAGACATCCTTGATGAAAACCTGTTCCAGAGTTCTCTGGACCTTAGACTGGGGTGATGGTTCATCTTTCAACAGGACAACAACCCTAAGCGCACAGCCCACATAACAAAGGAGTGGCTACAGGCCAACTCTGAATGTACTGGAGTGGCCCAGCCAGAGCCCAGACTTGAACCCCATTGAACATCTCTGGAGTGATCTGAAAATGGCTGTGCACCGACGCTCCCCATCCAATCTGATGGAGCTTGAGAGGTACTACAAAGAAGAATGGGACCAATTGCTCAAAAATATGTGTTCCAAGCTTGTAGCATCATACTCAAAACAACTTGAGGCTGTAATTGGTGCTGAAGGTGCTTCAACAAAGTATTGAGCAAAGGCTGTGAATACTTATGTACATGTGTTTTTTTTTTTGTTTTTTTTTTTTATTTTTAGTAAATTGCAAAGATTTAAAAACGAACTTCTTTCACATTGATATTATGGGTTATTGTTTGTAGAATGTTGAGGAAAAAAATGAATTTAATCCATTTTGGAATAAGGCTGTAACATAACAAAATGTGGCAAAAATTAAGCACTGTGAATACTTTCTGGATGCACTGTCTACTACCTAAAAATGATTGATGAATGGTATAGTAGCGTTTATGGTGAGCAATTAGGAACAATAAAGTTTTAAAACCCTATACCCAAGATCAGGGGTCTCCAAAGTATGGCCATCCAGGTGTTGAAGAAATGCAAATCCCATGAGGCCTTGCAAGACTCTGGCAGCCACAGGCAAGACTCCCAATGGCAAAGGCTTGATGGGACTTGTAGTACTTCAACAGCTGGACGGCCATAGTTTGGAGACCCCTGCCCTAGATTAAACCCTATACTAAGAGAAAATGTGTTAGAGGAGTGTGGCATGACATGGTACAATAATGTTTGTTGTATGCTGATTGCATAGGCCATGGCTTTTCTTCAGAAACCTCTAACTACAGGGGCAGAGGCAGGACTAGCCCCCAATTGAGCTGGCAACCACTCCTGATGTAAAGAGCTTGATAAACTGAGTACTGTAAATGTTTTTGGAAGCATTGTGTATATCTGTTTGTAAAAATAGGTGAAATTTTTAAATGAACCTGTGTGGTGCCATCAGCACTATGGAATGCACATAGATACCACTGCTCAGCGTTCATATTAAGATAATGTCCTCTTAAAATATATGTTTTTTCACGTGCTATTACTTATTTTCACATACATTTATAAATAGAAACCAATGATTTGGGAGTGATCAATCATATGAACTTTTTAAATAAGCAATCCCATTGAAGAAATTGTTTACATTTTGCATTTTTGTTCGCTGATCCAGCCCAATGCATTTAGGGTTTTTAGATTAAAATTTATCAATATAAAGTAATCCAACACTAATGCTGTCAAATAATACATTATTGTATTTCTTAACAGTCATCGCGAGACTCATCTCCATTTACGTAAGTTTTTTTAGCAAATTGAACTTAAATCTTAGAATGCTATGCACAGAATATTTTGTTTTTTAACATGTTTCATCTGTTTTAACAGGGTGAGTGTGCAGAGGAGTAAATGGGATGCATCTCGTTCCATGAGGTTTAACCAAGATGCTCAGAGAGAAGAAGGTTTGTATGATTATCATTATTATATTTAGTGCTTAAATGGACAGTCCAGTTAAAACTGATATTTCAGTTTTGAGTAGATGCTGGCCACCTCCTGTCTTTCTAAATCTAATGCAGAAATTGGTGGTGGAAAGTGGTGAGATAGTTATACAATTTTCCACTGAAACTGCTGTGAAAGGCCTTTCCCAGTCACCACAGGGTCATTGCTACAAAAAAAGACAACCTGTGATAGAAGGGGAAATATACTTACCTTTTTTAACTGTCTATGTGTTGAAAAGCCACTGCAATGTTGCTCCCCAGCAGTGCCGGTATTCAGTTCTTCAGCTAAGGTAATACCTGATACCCTGTTGCATGCTGCATTTCCTGCTGTTGGCTCCTACGTCCTGTAGTGACATACAAGCTGACGGGAAGAGCTTCAGCGCGTAGTGGGGCAGCAGGTATTCTACACACCTGGAGCTGTGACATACATGCACTGGGGAGCAGCAAAGTGATGGTGTTTGGATACATAGGCTATGGGAAAGGTAAGTATATAGACTCTTTTATTGCATTCTGACTTGTTTGTACAAGTGACCTTCTGGTGACAGGGTCAACCTAAAACCGCAGCTTGTATTGAGGATTTTTTGTACCTTGTCTAACTGTATATGTTACAGCCTTTGTAAGTGGAAAAACACAAAGAATTGTGCACAATGTACCTAAATTTAATAGTATATGTCCTTGTTTCAGACCAGAGAAGAATGACTGAAATTACAGGTCATCTCATTAAAATAAGACTCGGAGATCTTGAACGTGTGAAGTCCAAAGAGGGGAAAGAAGTAAGTAGCCTGGCCTTCAGTTTTGGTCTACATACTGTATGGTTCCAACATTCAGTAAAACAATTTTCCAGTAAATCAAATATAAGTGCTGGTATACAGCATAGGTGTTTTGTTGGAATGAATCCATGACATAACAGATGGCAGGGGCTAACGTAGCTAACTAGGGTCCACTTATAACAGAATTCTCAATGGCCCATATTGATATTACTATATTAACTGCAGTTTATTTCACTGGCATTTTTGTCAAATATTTAGAAAGCAGCAAATAAAAGATTTGAATGAGATCTCCCTGGGTTTGTAAAGCACCTTACCTTTCTTTTTGGAATGGCTGAATGATTCAGTGAATAAAGAATTACCAACAGTCCCCTTAATCTGACATTTTTAATTATTTCATGAAAAAGGCAAATAATAATGAATTCACTTTGTAACATTTACCATTATGGACTAAGCAAATCTAAGCATTTCCCACTGATTCCCTTTAGAGATCTTTTATTTCCTTAAACTCATATACATTATAAAATGCACATTCCTTGAAAATTTGCTAAATTATTATTATTACAAAAGAATTTATATATCCCAAAGAGTTTACGCAGCGCTTTACAACATGAGGGCAGACAGTACAGTTACAATACAATTCAATACAGGATAAATCAGAGGGCCTTGCTTGTTAGAGCTTACATTCTAAAAGGGAGGGTCAAGTGATACAAAAGGTAATAGCTGTGGGGGATGAGCTGATGGAGAAAATAAAAGTACAGTTGGTAGGTGGAGCCAGGAAAGCCTTCTCTCTCTAAAAAAAAAATGGGGTGTTCAGGAATTGCCTAAAAGTGGACAGAGTAGGATATAGTCGGACAGATTGGGGTAGAGAGTTTCAAAGGATGGGAGAGGCTCAGGAGAAGTCCTGGAGGTGAGCATGGGAGGAGGTGTTGAGAGGAACTAAGAGATCAATTTGGTTGGAATTTTGAGACTAGGTTAGTGATGTAACTGGGGGAAGAGTTGTGGATGACTTTGTAAGTTGTCAGTATTTTGAATTTAATTTGTTGGGTGAGTGGAATCCAGTGGAGGGATCAGCATAGCGGGCTAGCAGACACTGAATGGTTGGTAAGGTGGGCGAGTCTAGCAGCAGCATTCATGATGGACTGAAGAGGGGATAGCCCATGTAAAGGTAATCCAATGAGGAAGGATATCACTTACCTGGTGATGGAGGCCAATGGAGAGAGGGCTTCCTTTGCGGCTAAGTTCCGGACTCCCTTGAGAGTGGGACAGCGGGAGTCAGTCAAGTTGCACAGGTCACCTGTAGGAGTGCTGGTTGGTGATCCACTCAGAATAACAGCTGGTGCATGGAGATAGGTCTCAGACAGGAGGCGTCTGTGCGTGGTCTGCAAGCCCTTCCGGGATTTAGATGTTTACTGGGTAGTCGGTTCAAGCCAAGGTCAGGTACCAGATAGGAATCAGAGCAGATGTAGTCAGATGGGATAGCCGAGGTCATACACTGGGGAGCAAGAGAGAGAGAGTATCCGTAAGCCAGGCCGAGGTCAGATCAGGGGTAAGGCAGAGTAGACAGGTCCAGGAGCAAGCCGAGTCGGTAACAGGAAATCATGGGTCAAGGTTACAGGAAACAGGAACAGGGCACGGGGAGCTAGAGATCATCCAGAGACTTGAGGAAGTGATGAGCCTCTTTATAAAGGCCGTCTGGCACCAAACTGAGGCTGATGTGTTCTTCTGCGGCCATGCAGAGTACTGGCAGAAATGCCAAATCTTCCAGAACTTGGACAGGACCCTGACAAAGGAGTTGCCATAGACAAGGTGAGAGATAACCAGTGAGTGAATTAGAAGCTTTGTGGTGTCATTGGTTAAGAAGTTGTGTATTTTGGAGACGTTGCGAAGGTTGAGGCGGCAAGATTTGAACAGTGATTATATGTGGAGCAGAAAGGAGAGTTCAGAGTCCAGGATTACACTTATCACCCTGGCATGCGAGGAAGGGGTTGATAGTTGTGCCATTGATCTTGACAGAGAAGGCTAAATTATTTCACTTGCATGTGCCTTCTGCAACATGAATGTTAAGTGCCTAGATTCACCCAATTTTGTAAAAGAATTGTGTATCCCTTGTATTGTTTATGTTGGTGAAGGGTTTTTAGTTTTTATATGGATGTTAAATATCAAACTCTGTTACATGTAGTGGTCTGTTCCTGGTGTGCATAGATAAAATAACTTACTCATGGATACTACCTCTTCTCCAAATATCTGTGTAATAATAAAAATCCTGAATATTTCTGATCTCAGCATGCAGGTGGGATTTACTCCAGACTTGAATCTCAAATCAAAGGCTCTGTTCAGACCAATAGCCGACAAAGTAACACAGAGAAGAACCCTAGGTAAAGTACAGTTGACATTTGTTCCTAAAGCTGGCCGTACACTCTTAGTTTTGTTTTTTTTTTCATTTAAAATGTTACTAAACCCACAACAGTAAAATCAGTCAGTATATGCAGTAAAGAATGCTTGTTATACTCACTGTGGAACCTAAGGGGTTAATCCTCCACATTGTGTAAAAATGCTGTTTGATCCTGACTTCTCTGATCCTCCTCTTCTTCCACTGCCCCACTGTTATCTCTTGATAAGACATGTGGAGACACTCTGCACTTGCTCAGTTTAGTGTGTATTGCTAGAGAGGTTTTTTTATTTGGAAGAGTGCATGTGATCAGCACAGGGCCAATCAGACAGAGGTAGGGCTCCTGCATCCTCCTAGAGCAGAAAGAAAACTCCTCCTACAAGCTTTAACCAGTGCTCCACTGAACACTGATAGAAGTCACAAGACTGCTCTAACTGATAATGATAAAAGGTATTTAGCAGTTTATATTTACTAAAATAATTGCATTTCCATGTTCTGTGTACTGTGGGAGACTAGATATAGTGAATGCAGGGTCCTGGGTTTAATAACACTTTAGGCAAGTGTGTGAACATCCAACGGATTCCTCCATTTACATAAACAACGCTCCCCTTCCCAGAATGTTGTATTCTGACAACAGCTCTCACTGCTGTCAAAATCCACTACTCAGCATCTGCAGACTCAGAATGACAAAAGTTTTTAGAATGTCCTTTCAACAGAAGTCAATCAGATGCATTTCCCTTCAACAGAAATCAAGCCACAGACTGATCAAAGTTTGGCCAGTGTTCATGATGTTTTGCCACAGCAGTAAAAACATGACTATGGTTCTAATCTTTCCTCACTTAAAGTGGTTCTAAAGGCTAGGTGTTTTTTACTCAAGTCCTCTCTCAATACAATGCTGTGCCCATCTGCAGTGGTGTTCTCCTCTCTTCTCCTTCTCACATAACACACAGGCAGCAGCGGGCGTCATTGGCTGTGAGAAGGGAGCAGGGGGTGGGGCCATGCCATGCAGTGTGTGACGGTGGATGCACACAGCCCACCTTGGGAGGGTACCCACATGAGTGTCCCTAGAACACAGGGATTCCTATGGGGGCACTTGCAGAAGAGGAGGAGCAGAGCACCAATGGGGGACCACCAAAGAAGAGTTAAGGGACCGTTCTGTGCAATAGCGTTGCACAAGGCCGGTAAGTATATCATGTTTTTTATCTTATTTTATATAAAAATAATAACACAAATATAGACTTTAATATTCTTTTAGTACAAAACTAAGAAAAACATTTTTGGGCTTTAGTTACACTTTAAATAAGATTCAAAATGTATCCATTACTTTCTCTTGCATTCAGCATCTACAGTGGTGGCTACACACGTATCCATTGTGACTAGAATTAATTGAATTGAATAGGAATAAGAACTGAATAAGGTCATAAACCAAAGATCATCCATTTGATCAGTTTAGTAAGCTTTAGTAAGTCTTTTGGCCGTGACAGAATTTTATTGATCATTTATGATTGACTGAATCAATATTTGCATGTGTGTTAGGCAACTGAGTGTAATCAGATTACATTATAATTTTCAATAGATTATTTCTAATGGATCTTATTTTCATTTCATACCGTATGTTTTGTATTGTTCAGTATTTTGATCCATGAATATCACTTGATACCTAGACCAATTACAAATCTATATGTATATGACCACCTTTAGAACCATGTCAAATGAGCTATGTTGTAGAGCAGTGGTCTCCAAACTGCGGCCCGTGGGCTGAGTGCAGCCCTTTGCCTGCCTTTATCCAGCCCTCGGGGTACTATACCCCCCATTGACACCAAGAAGGAGGCACCATTCTTTCCACAAGCACCAGCCATGGGGCGTTTTTCCTTCCACTGACACCAATGATGGGGCACAATTCCTCCCACTGATATAAACAATTAGGTACTATTCCTCCAACTAATAACAAGGATGGGGCACTATTCCTTCCTCTGATACCAATGATGGGGCACTATTCCTCTCATTAACACCAATGATAGGGCACTATTCTTCCCCCTGCCACCAATGATGGGGCACTATTCCTCCCCCTGCAACCAATGATGGGGCACTATTCCTCCCACTGACACCAATGATGGGGCACTATTCCTCCCCCTGCCACCAATGATGGGGCACTATTCCTACCACTAACACCAATGATGGGGCACTATTCCTCCCCCTGCCACCAATGATGGGGCACTATTCCTTCCCCTGCCACCAATGATGGGGCACTATTCCTCCCACTGTCACCAATGATGGGGCACTATTCCTCCCACTGTCACCAATGATGAAGCACTATTCATCCCACTGACACCAATGATGGGGCATTATTCCTCCCACAGATACCAATGATGGGGCAATATTCCTCCCACTGATACCAATGATGGGGCACTATTCCTTCCACTGACTACAAGCACTATGTAATTTTTTTTTACTCCTACTGATGCTGGGACATTTTCTACTCTCACTGGGCACTCTGGCCCTCCTAAAGTCTGAAGGACAATAAACCGGCCCTTTTTTTTAGAAAGTTTGGAGAACCCTGTTGTAGAGTAATTGCTGCTACAAATTACTAATGTCAGCAAATAACTGATTTGTAGCTAGTTATTCAGTTACTGAGTCACTATCAATTTGTCATTAAAAATGGATTTATCACTGCTACTAGATAAAATAGTGCTACAGGCTGCAACAAATTGCTCTCATGCAGCAATTTGTAGCTAAGCAATAGAGGTGAATGCAGAGGAACTTTCGCTGGTGTGCTGGTTGCTGACATGAAATGCTGCACAAACTAAATTGCTGTGCAATGGAGCTAAATATCGTTGTAAAATTAGTGAGTATAGCGATTCCATAGAAAATAACTATGATATCCTTAGTAAGAAATTGCAATGGATCACTGCAAATAACCTGTCCATCTCTCATGGCCATTAATCGTATTCTACCTTGATTTTTGTAACAGTTTCCCATTTTGTCTTCCACTAATGATGTTGACCCAATCCAACTATCCTCTTGTTTAAGTAATCCTGTTCCTTTGTCTGTGTCTCTGATATCTATCCAGTGGCCAATGGGAAGTCAGTGCAAAGTCATAGTTTTCACATATAAAGTTCCTTCCTGTATCTCCACTTTGGTGTTCTAAAGTATCCAGCTATGATCTTCTTTCTTATGGTCAACGTTTCTGGCTCCAAGACATCTTTAGTGCTGCTCTCTTTCTGCAGAACCCCCTTCCAAATGCCATCATACATCACCAACCCCCCAGTTCATTAGATATATACCCTGAAAACCCATGTATTCAGAAAGGTATACAATATCAATCTGCAGCTTCTCCTGAATATCACCCACATTTATTGTTTCTTCAATATACCATTCTGCTGTAAAAACACCCTAAATTATTGCAATTGTGTGTGTGCTTTGCTCTGTTTTAGTCAGTAGCCTTCTGTTGTTTTCTGGTAACTTTCACCAATTTGGTAACCTACTGGCACTTGTGTTTCCTTGCAGATCAAAACCTCGGTTTGGCACTGGACGAACAACATAAGTATAGGCAGTATACCTTTTTATGTGTACTGCAAAGAATTTATTGTGATTATTAATTTGTCCATGTGGACAGCTGAAATCATTTATTAGCTGTTTTACCTCTTGCTTGGCAAGTTTTATGCTGTTTGGAATGCTGCTAGAATGAACTTCCAACAGTGTTATTTTAGCTGTAAATCATCTTTTTAATTAAACTTATTTAAAAAAAAAAAGTTGTGTCAATTTTCTAGTACTGAACATTTTTATCCATCTGGCATAGTTTTTGTTATCACCATCCATGAATTAATCTTAGAGACTAGACTTATAGGGTGAATTTACTAAAACTGGTGCACACAGAATCTGGTGCAGCTGTGTACAGTAACCAATCAGTTTCTAGGTTTTATTATCAAAGCAATTTGAAGAAGCTGATGTTATAAGCTGATTGGTTACTATGCACAGCTGCACCAAATTCTGTGTGCACCAGTTTTAGTAAATCTCCTCCATAGCATATATAAACCCAAAAAACAAAATATAGCAGCTTAATGGGTCTTAGATGTGATGGCTGCATTAATGTAGATAATAAACTTTTGCACTGCTATTTATATCTCAAATCAATTACCGTGATTAGCTGCTTCCACTTTATAACAATCTATTATGTGCTATAACAACTAAATCAAATAATGTAGCGCTATACATCAATATAATTTTTTATTAATGTGACCATAAACATAAATAAAACATGTATCACAGCCACAATCCCAAGGGTATCAATCTTTGTGGTTGTTTCTTTAATTATCCTTTCACACTCTTGCAAAATGTATCCACACCTTCACCCTCAGTACTCCCCCAACCGCAGTTGTGCTCTCACCTGGTATATATGACCCACATAAAATGTAAAGTCAAAAACAGCTCAAGTCTTCTTTAACCAATAGCCGCCCGGCCAATAGCCGTTTGGCGGCTGGCAAAATGCTGTAGATTTCTGGGTGGACGCCATATGGCGTACTCCCGGGCGTGCGCAGTTTTCTCGCTTGCAGAGCCGCGCAGCAGCGTGATCTGTCACCGACCGTGTACCTCAGACACGGCCAATGACAGATCTGAGTACCGGCCCCGTTGCCGGTACCATGTGACCTGCTGTGACCAATCACAGCAGGTCACAGGACAGTTGTATACAACGGATGGCATGACTGAAGCCATCCATTGTATACTAGTGTCTAGCTGTGAATGGTCACAGCGATCACATGCACGTCATGTGATTAGCTGTGGCCAAATCGCAGCTAAGCAGAAAAAAAAAAAAGCCTGAATGAATCGATGTCATTCAGGTAAATGCTTGCTTATAGCAAAGTAATTCTTTGCTATAAGCAAATTGTGTAAAAAAAAAAAAAATTCTGATCACTTCCCCAAAGTAGTACAATGTAACATTGTACTACTTTGGACATAGAGAAATATGAAAAAAAATCTTAAAAAAAGAAAA